ACTTTTATTTAATAAAAGTAAACAATAATTCTTAAAATGTGGGGTTAGAATAACAGCAAACGCATGTTTTACAAACGCTTTTTTTTAGTTATTATTTTATTTGAGTAAATTTAAACGGTAATAATGAATAAACAAAACATCAAGGATTTTATTTTTGTGCTTACTTTTGTTCTACACGTTTTACTTTTAAAGATTTCAGTACCTAAAAACGCCAGAAATTTCACTGTTTCTCGGCCGGGAATATGGCCACCTTAAGTAAAAAATACACAGAATAAAAACCTAATTTTGTGTATTTGTAGAGGTCGAGCGTCATATTGTTTATAACAATAGAAAAAAAAAATAATTGCTCTTTTCAAAATATCGAAAGCACAATGATATTACAAAAGAAAACGTGAAAAGTCAATAAAAATGTATTTTTCTGGATCTGACTATGACTTTCGCAGACACCAGTTCATTTAAAAAAAGTATCCCGGTAGCTGCTTTCTATGTGCCACAATACATTTGTTAAGTAAGAATTTTGAGAAGTCGAGCGCAGCATGGGCACTATGACGTCACAGCGTTCCCCTCTGCTGGCTACCGCTCAGCCGCGCTGATCACGCTGTCTTTAACGAACGTTTACTTGGTCACTTCTTAATCGAATCCACTCAAAAAAAAATCAGCATATAAAAGAAGTCTTCTACTTTACAACGAGACCAAGTTTATTAGAAAATATTAAATAGAACAGCCAAAATACCGTTTAAAGGAAAAACAATTATCTCGGCTCCTAGTGGTGGGATCGAGACGCTTTTCCTTTCTTAATTAATGTTTTTTAAGCACTATTTGATGCAATTGGTTTGAAATCTGTATATTAAAAAATTGCCGAGATAAGGATCCTAGTTACCGTTTTTTTTTTGGTATTTTGTTAATATTTTTTTTTGCAACTTAAAAATCTGAAATTTACACAGATGCTCTGTGGGTACACATGCTGCAAGTGACCCATTTTTGAGTACATCGTCAATAGCGCCATCCTTACGCCACCCGGAACGCAACAGGGTTCCAAAAAAAAATCGACGGCAAAGTGGCGCCAAGGATCAGGTACTTTTGCGAGCGACTCCACACCAAGAGGGACTCTCCAGCGAACACTCGCCCCGACAACACGTCTTTTTTACAAACTTACTTTTCAATAAAAATATTTTATTTTTACCGTTGAGAGAGCGTTTTATTTTTACTGTAAAGAGAAATCAACCCTCATACCTTTCGATCCTTTTTTTACCAAATTTCGATACCTTGACTTGGGCAGAAGATATACGCTCTCGCGTTTTCGACTTCATAATTTTGCAATAGACCGCCATTTTGAAATTGGGGGTCGGGATTTCGGGTATTTGTTGAGCACCCCAGTTACCTTTTCCTGTAGTTTCATCCAATTTCAGTCAAATTCGTTCTTTTTATTTAATGCTGAAAACGTTTTTTTTACAGTTAATTTTGCAATGTAAAATAAATTCTGCGAGCTTTCGCAAAAGCCTATCCTTGTAGCAAATTTCCTTAGGAACAAAATCAATACCTCATGTCGATTAGAAACTTATTTTCGGAGATATAAGCGAAAAATTGAAGAGCAATTATTTTTTTTCTTTTGTTATAAACAATATGACGCTCGACGTCTACAAATACACAAACTTAGGCTTTTATTCTGTGTATTTTTTACTTAATTTTAAGCCCATAAAATTCGAGGTAAGCCCAATTTTTGAAAAATGCCTAATTCCCTAACCTAATTGAAGAATTTCCAAATCGTGTAATACCATAGAGAAACATTTTTCAATGTTGAAAGACGGGTTCGAGAAACAACCAAGTGTTTCAGTACCATTGCAATCAGGGCACAAGACGAATAACTTATTTTGAATACAATTGAAGATGACCCACATATTAGTACTAGAATTCTATCTTGACAAACTGGTATATCGCAAACTTGTGTGCACCGAGTAATCAGACGTAATCTACTACACCCATATCATATCCAAAAAGAGCAAGAATTGTTACCGAATAATTTGGTTAAACGAGTGAATTTCTGACAGTTTATTTTACATCAAGGCATTAATTTTCAAAAGAAAATTCTCCTTGCTGATGAAGCTTGTTCCACCCGCAGAGGTATTACAAATTTACATAACTATCATGAGTATTCCGATATAAACCCTCATTCAGTAACTCTTCTACATTTCCAACGTGAATTTAAAATAAATATTTGGATTGGTGTTATTGATCGGTATTTAATTGGTCTAGTTATTTTACCGAGTCGAATAAATGGTGAAACTTATTTAAAATTTCTCCAAAACACTCTCCCGGATCTACTTGACGAGGTCCCATTACAACTCAGACTGGAACATTGGTTTTTGCATGAGTAGTATTGTTAGAGACTTTTTAAACCACCAGTGTTCAAATAAATGGATTGGAAGAGGTAATAATTGCCCCACGATCACCAGACTTCAACAAATGTGACTTCTTTCTTTCGAATCGTACAGTTTTCCTAGCAACCGCCTAGCAACGGTCAATACAATATGTATTTTTTTACCAACCTGTGCGATTTTTTTACCGTACGTAATAGGAATCTTGCATTGATCGCAGACGGTGTGTTTTTAAGTACTTACAGTAGTGGCCGTAGGTAAAGTATAGTACGTAATACGTGGTGTAATGCAATTACGCACTCGCCGCTACGTGTCGTCGTGCGTAACTTTTCCATTCGTGCGTAAAAGGCTTTTTACAACACTTATTATGTAAGATACTATTGTGTATTCCTCACCAGTTGCGTCTCGAATCGCCATTAAAAACAATTAGCACTTATTGGATAGAGAAGATTTTCAACGAAGAATAAATTTATGCCTGGGAGAAAATGGTGATCATTTTGAATAAATTCTGTAACATATCAGTGCAAATTGTATGTATGTATGTATGTATGTATGTATGTATGTATGTATGTATGTATGTATGTATGTATGTATGTATGTATGTATGTATGTATGTATGTATGTATGTATGTATGTATGTATGTATGTATGTATGTATGTATGTATGTATGTATGTATGTATGTATGTATTTATGTATGTCGAGGGGGTGGTGGAAAATTGCTTTTCCACCGCGGCACTTAGGCCTTATTAGGCCCCTTGTACACCCCCCTAAATTCCTATAATACACGGGTGGCTTGGTGGCAATGTCTCGTACAATTTTTATGTATGATAGCATTAGTCTTGAGTTTTATTGCTCTATTCTCATTACCATTTTATCGGGGACCACACACAGGCGGAAGGTGTTGAGCGACCTAGGCCTCTGGTAGGCTGTCACAGCCACGTCCCCGAGCCTGCCTTAGGTCACCCATCCAAATTCCAGCCTGCGTCCGTGATGCTTACCTCGGCCGATCGAAATCCAACGGCCAAGACACCCCGCTAGGCGGTCCCCAAAAATTGCATGTTATTTATGTTGTTTAATTTGTTTGTTTTTCTATTAAATTATTCTTATTCCATCTTTTTTCCTGATCATCAAGTTTGACGTTTAAATTCATATCGAACTTTAAGATTGTTTATAGGGTGGTTAAATGTATAATTTTTACGTAAATTCACGTTTTTCGCTTATAACTTTTTTCCGTTCATTTCCACGAGAAAACAGTGAAGTGCTTTTTTTCGTTTTCAAAAGACCTACAAAACTAGTCCTCGAGCCTCAAAAAATATTGATTAGATCAAAAATTATAAACAGAAGAAGTTTATAACATTTGAATTAAACATTGATAAACTGGAAACGGTAAGTTGAATAGTTTACAAGTTATGGCCTTATGAAGAAATTAACTAATTATTAGTCTGGACGATCCCGAGCATCTTCCACAATCGCACTGATTTTTTTCAAGGTACATTTCATAATAATACGTTGAAATCTACCATTTTTTTTTAATTTAAAATTTGCAACCTTGAAAGTTTTTTATTTTTTAGCCTTAGTTGCAAAATGAAATATACGACTCACGAGCGTGATATAGTTATATATTATTACATATTCGGAAAGCTTATGAAAAGAACTTTAAGTTAAAACAAAAATCGTCAAGATTCGTTGAAAAACAACGGAGTTATAGACTGTCAAATAATTATTTTCAAGCAAATTTCGATTTTTTAAAGGCAGGACTATGAATATTATTGTCATTTCCTTCAGACTCGCTGTCGTTCGCTTCCCCCACCCTTCCGCCGCGCCACGGCTCGCCGAAAAATCAAGCGACACACTGACTTTTGACAATATTTCTTATGCACCTAACATACTTCCACAAATAAAATATTTTAATCTGGGAAAGTACTCGGGTTGCCGGTTATGATAGTATTTGTTTGCCGCTACCAACCTAATTTGTTTATCCTATGAAAGTTGCAAGAAAATTAGAGCTATCATGGGAGATATTCAATAGTTTATTAAAATAATTTTTTCCATGTTTCAGAGTACTCTTACCAGTAAAAAGAATTCAGTGTCAAGGTGGTACTTTTTCGAACGAAATAGTATGCTGTAAACTAAGAGATGACAATACCACCAGCAGTACAGAAAGGACTACCGACAGGAGTACCGCAACCAGTACCATGACTACCACGATGACCACTATCAAAAGTATACTCAGTAAATATCCTGATACTGATGACGAAGTGGTTATTGGCACAGGAAGAGATACCTGTGGTGTACAAAGGGCCATAATAAATACAAGGATACTTAGTGGAGATGACGACCTCAACCCTCTTCAAGGTGAATTTCCTTGGATCGCCGCCATTTTCAAGAAGACATCAACCGGTGGATACAAGTTTCTCTGCAGTGGGTCACTTATTCACCCCAACGTGGTGCTAACTATCAATCACTGTGTGATTAAGTGAGTAAACGTTTTATTTTTATTTTCGATAACAGGGGTTCCAAATTCGACTCTTGTGGCACCCAGGTGCATGTTACTGGTGTATGTTCGGATGCAAATATGAATACTCGATAACAAATCACTTGTCTTAAAATATATTAATAATATAATTATTCGTATGATGTTTACCTATTCCATATACATATACGCGCTTTCACAATCAAATTAAAAAAATTAAGTTGGAGAACTAGAAATTTATTGGAATGTGTCCTTGACCTGTTGTATTGCGTGTGGGTGAATTTTCGGTGATGTCTGATTCTTTTGATATACTGAGTCGAGTATGATTCATTCCATTTGAACAAATAGTTTTAATTTTGTTTTAATGGTACTAAACGTATAGAAAAATATTTTGTTTACCTTTCAATTTCATAACCACTTTTATTGCAGATGAAGTGTTAAAAATATTTTATATGTATTGGTTTATTGCCATATAAAATCTTTGAAACATAAAAACTATTTTTTTAACAGTCGTTAATTGTCTGAAAAAAAAATTGTGAAAAGGGTAAATATTATCAACACTTTTGATATTGTTGTTTTAATATGTCAGCTGCATCTACTTTATTTTGCAGATATTAAGCTAATTCAAAGAAATTAAAAAAAAAACTAAATCCTATCAAAGGTTACAGGTTACCGACATGTATATAAATGAAGTGAAAATAATATTAAATAAATTTAAGATTTATTTTATTAATGCAGTAAGTGACACTTATTCTCTAGAGTAAAATATAAATTTCTGAATTATATATAGAAATAAATAATACAGAACACTTACTTAAAATAATAGTACAACGGAAGTCGGTGAAATTGAAAATATACAGAGTGTTTGGTAAGTTGATGTATTCCTTGCAGAAGGTTATAGTACAAGTGATTTGTGATACATATCCTTATTATACCATATTTCGAAAACGCTTAGTTTCCGATCTACAGGGTGTTAAAGTTTTAATTAAAAAATGCAAATTTAAAAATATTGCGGAAACCGCTCAGAATATTTTAATGAAATTTTACAGGCATTGACAGTTAACAACAATACATGTTTTACGATAAAAATATTGCCTTCAGTTTCACCAGTGGTGTGCGCAGAGTCACGTCTCTGGATATTTTTAAAGAAGAAAATGAACGCCACTGATTTTTCTTAAATTAAAAATTATTTTTGAATTCCTTGTTCAATTTGGAAGAGAAAAAGTATCTCGACTGTTTTTCTTATGACGCACCGTTTTCGGTTTTGGCGTAATCCGGTTTCAATGATTTGAAAAATAGCAGAAATTATGCACTCAGTTTTTTTTTTGTACTAATTTTATTACAAAAAATTATTAGTCCTCACAGCTAACAGCATCAGTCTAAAAAAATTTATAAGTTTTCAGATTCACTATCTTAAACAGAAATTAGCAGGTTGGCTGTGCACTCGTTTTTGTTATTGTTTGATAAAATTAATAATAGCTGTCACTTTAGTAGTATTAGTAATGTGTGATTTTAATTCTTTTACTAGAAAACGGTGCCTCATAAGAAAAACAGACAAGATAGGTATCTTGTTTGTTTTCTCTTCCAAATTGAACAAGGAATTCATAAATAATTATTATTTTAAGAAAAATCAGTGGCGTATCATTTTTTTCTTTAAAAATATCCAGAGACGTGCTTGTGCTCACGCCACTGATGAAACTGAAAACAATATTTTTATTGTGAAACATGTATTCTTGTTAACTGTCAAAACCTGTAAAATTTCCTTAAAATATTCTGAGCGGTGTCCGCAATATTTTTAAATTTGCATTTTTTTAAATAAAACTTTAACACCCTGTAGATCGGAGACTAAGCGTTTTCGTAATATGGTATATTAAGGAAATATATCACAAATCACTTGTACTATAATCTCCTGCAAGGAATCCATCGACTTACCAAACAACTTGTATATAGCAATTTCTGTAAAAAACATCCCTACTTATTTAAAGGACAAAATACTCTACCTTGTACATATTTAATTTTACACTCCTTCAATGGTTAAATTTAAAAATGAGCTAAACTGGTTTTGAATCTTGAATTATTTTAAGACCCTTTAACTCTGAAAAGTAACCAAATAAACAATTTGTTCTCACCTACTTGAGACATATTTTCTTACATAAAAATGTCATGTAAAAAACATCCCTACTTATTTAAAGGACAAAATACTCTACCTTGTACATATTTAATTTTACACTCCTTCAATGTTTAAATTTAAAAATGAGCTACCAAACTGGTTTTGAATCTTGAATTATTTTAAGACCCTTTAACTCTGAAAAGTAACCAAATAAACAATTTGTTCTCACCTACTTGAGACATATTTTCTTACATAAAAATGTCATGTAATTTAAAATAATTATGCTGTTAGGAATAGCATTCTTCATGTATTTCCCGAGAAAAGTTTTAAAAATATAGAGGGTGTTCCATAAGAAAAAACAAATTTATTGGCCGTCCAGCTATTTTGGGTCACCCTGTATACAACTGAATCATCTTAAAAGATGCCCCTCCCAAGAACAAAATCGACCTATCTCGACGTTTTTTTAAAAATCGCTCGGTATAAAAGTTATGAATTTTGTACCAAACTTTATCATCACTCTGTATATATAATAAAAACGAGTTACATAAACATATTTTTTAAGTGTGACGAATTTTACCTCTTTAAATAAGGAAAGTACTTAGTACAAAGTAATAACTACGCTTCAATAACGACTTTTATCGTTAAAATATGAACTGTCAACTCCCATGTTATGATTTGATAATTTTAGGAAAATCCGAATTACTTAAAATGTTTATTTTGTCTGGGGTCATCGCAGTGATCTACATAGATAGCCACATATGTATATTTGTTTATATAAATAATTTTTCTACGTATAAATGTTTTTGTTTTTTTTTTTTTTTCAGGAAAAAAACTAGCGATCTGAGAGTAGTCGTCAACGGTAAACTTAAACTTTCTGAACCGGATGCCACGCAGGAAGAGAAGAGAGATGTTTCAGAAATCGTCAGTCATCCTAGTTATGACGATCGGTTGCTCTTTAATGATGCCGCATTACTCCTTCTAGAAAGGCCGTTTGTGGTCAACACTTGGTCCCATATCAACACCCTGTGCTTACCACCTAGGAGTGTTAATTTGGAGGGCAAAAAATGCCTAGTGACTGGGTGGGGAGAGGATAATACCGAACAACGTAAGAACAATTTGTATTTTTTCCTATAATTTAAAAGAAAATAACTAAATAAACGGTATTTATTCAATATCTGAACGTAAAAACCAAATAACATAAATAAATTTGAGAGGCAATTGTACCAGGAAAAACTATTGTAGGTTTCAAATGCATTGAATATAACATTTAAATATGAAATGCAATAATCTAATTTTACAAAAGAAAAGTTTCATGTTTGTTTTTTATTTAATTTTATACTGACAAGGAAAGCGGTGGTGGTTCATTTTTGACGTCAAATGCAAAAAAAAATTGATAACGTCACTTTTTTTATATTAACGCATTTACTTTTATGAAATATTATATCTACTTCATCAAAATACGTCATTGGTGCGCCAGTTGGTGTCAATAAGTCTGCGCAATATGACTGATTGTTGTGAAATTTGTTACGTGTCATGATTTATGTCTGTCATTTTCTGACGCATGTATTTTTTGTGAGACGGATTTGGATTTAATTGAAAGGTATACTTATCTTTGATACATCGTCCACTACCTAGAGACTGAATCTGGGCTGGTTTCGGTGTGAAGCAAAATAAAACTCTTAACGGTAAATAAAAGTATTTTTATTGAAAACAAAGTTTGTGAAAAAGAAGTGTTGTCGAGGCGAGCGTTCGCTGCAGAGTCGTCGTGGTATGGAGTTAGGGCGGCGACGTAATATTTAAAATGGGTCACTTGCGAACATGTGTAGGTACCCAAAAATCTACAGTTACGTACCTCTGTTCGGGCCCTAGTTAACATTCCTGTAAAATAATTTCCAGTTTTTTCTTAATTATTTAATTCGTAATTTTTCTCTAATATCAGAATCTCCTACAGGGTGGTCCGAATTTTATGCAGGAAACTTCGAGGGCAGATAGATCTCTTTAAAATAATAGGTGTTTGTCTTATAAACACAAGTCTGGAACGGCCTCGTTTTAGAGATACAGGGTGTTGAAGTTGTTAAAAAAAATTAATTTTTTGTTTATATCTCCGGAATCTATTAACCGATCTGAACAAAATTTGGTACAGATAATGGATGACAGTAGGCCTTGCATTCTCTAAAATATGAGCTCTAAAGGATCTACCAGTGGTGTACAACTGGACAGGGTCACCCTTTTTTTATAAAAAAAACCTACGCCACTGTATTTTTTACAATCTATTGTAACGGATTTATATTCTAATGTACAAAATACGTAAAAAAGGTAACGTGAATTTTTTCCCTAAAGTTCACCGTTCTCAAGTTATTCATACGAATACAATCTCCTTGTGGCGGATACTTCTAACCATAATATTACAAGAATATTTATGTTTATGCTTAAAAGTAAGTGCAATTTGTAAGCACATCAACAAAATTCTTTACACTCGTCGCTTTCATCTTTTGGATTAAAACGATATTTGGAAAATCACGACGGCTCAATGAAAGACACAGAAATGAAATTTTAAGAACATTGGGGTGAGTAAATCGAAAATTTGAAAAGTTCTACATAAGGATGGTAGAAATCCGTACTATTTACAACCTGTGCAAAATTTACTTCCGGGAGATGTAGACACACCTGAATTTTTGTTAGTGGTTGTTTTAAAGTCACAACATAATCCAGAATTCTTACTAGAAATACTTTGGACCGATGAGGCTACGTTCACAAGGCGAGGGGTAGTGAATTTTCACAATCTGGATATTTGGTCACAAGAAAATCCTCATGAAATTCGGAGTCATTTCTAAACTTTCTAGAAAACCATCTATTTGAATTATTAGAGGATGTTCCATTAAATATACGACAAAATAGCTGGATACAAATGGATGGTGCTCCTGCGCATTTTAGGAGAATAATACAATAATGGCTTAAAAATTATATGGGGCGATGGATAGGTTGAAGACCAAATGCCAATGTCAACCATAATGGTGCAGAGAATCCAGTCTCTTGGCTAGCCAGATCACCAGATCTAAACCCCCTGGACTTCTCCGTTTGGGGTTACCTATCTGAAAAGTAAAGTTTACTCTACTAGACCACAACTACTGCAGCGAATAGAAGACGGGTGTAATGAATTAAAAGAAAACCACCACATGATATTAGCTTCAATTAGTTCCATTAATAGAAGATGTCAGAAATGTACTGATGTGGGTGGTTCGCATTTTAAACAATTGCTGTAAATACGTAACGTTAATTTTGTTTCTTTTTTAATTGTTGTTGCTTGGTAAATGTATTATTATTATTTTCATTTAAATTGTTCTTATTTGTAAAGATAGTGGATTAAGCCTCCAGGAGAAACTAAAACACACTAGGAACACTACCTCACAGGTGATGTAATTTTGTTGATCTGCTTACAAATTGCACTTACTTATAAGCATAAACATAAAATATATTCTTGTAATATTATGGTTTGAAGTGTCTACCACAAGGGGATTGTATTGGTATGAATAACTTGAGAACGGCGAATCTTAGGGAAAAAATTCAAGTTACCATTTTTACGTATTTAATGCATTAGAATATAAATCCGTTAAAATCACTTATAAAAAATACAGTAGCGTATTTTTTTTTATAAAAAGAGGGCGACCCCTGGTCCAGTTGTACACCACTGGTTGACCCTTTAGAGCTCATATTATAAGGAATGCAAGGCCTACGGTCATACATTATCTGTACCAAATTTTATTGAGATCGGTTAATAGATTCCGGAGATATAAACAAAAAATCAATTTTTTTTAACAACTTCAACACCCTGTATCTCTAAAACGAGGCCGTTCCAGACTTGTGTTTATAAGGCAAACACCTATTATTTTAAAGAGATCTATCTGCCCTCGAAGTTTCCTGCATAAAATTCGGACCACCCTGTATTATAGTAATTATCACATACACATTCCACATAAATCTAGAATATCTATTACATTATTCTTCATATTACGTTCAGAAGAAGAAGCCAAGATTAGAAATCTTGATTAATATGTTCCTGAAAACAACAAAACTAACTTTCTCTACTTCTGCAGGTTCGAAAATTCTGAAGAAGGTGGAAGTGCCGTTTGTGAATCACACTCAGTGCCAGACTCTTTTGAGAAGTACCAGACTAGGCAAGCGCTTCAATCTTGACAAGTCCTTCATGTGTGCTGGCGGCGAGAAAGGACGAGATGCTTGTATGGGAGACGGAGGTAGCCCTTTGATGTGCGCCACACATCTGGGGAGCGATCAGTACTTCCAAGCTGGAATGGTATCCTGGGGCATTGACTGCGGCAAGGAAAACGTACCAGGGGTCTACACAGACGTCTCAGAAGCCGTGGAATGGATAAAGAATGAACTCAATAATAGACAATTGTATCTTTAGTATTTTTGTTACTGCAATCTTAAGAGGAAATATAAATAAAACATCTTTGTGAAATTTAACTGGAATATCTGCCAAAAAATTATTTGTACCAAATCCTTTACGACGACTTTTGTGCCCAAACCATCACCGATAATGACAACAATAAAGGATCGAGATTATATCCCTGTGGAACTCTCGATTATGTTAATAACCTATAATCAGTATACGATATAAATTATTGTTTATTTGTTAGGAGTGATTTGAAAAGTTGCAATAAGTTTCCACTAGAAGTAAAGATAATTTCCTTAATAATAAAGTGATGAAAAGCTTTAGTGAAATCCGCATACAGGATCCCGGTCAGACCCCCATAGGCTCAAAAATGGTCGAAAATGACCGTTTTCTTCAATTGCTAATAATTAATGCAATTTTCATCGCAGACACTTATAATTCAGGATTTTTGAGGCTTTTTGCACCCTTAATAAGTGGAAAAATTTCAGCCCGAAAGGTTCATTAGTTTGGCGTTGGCGGAATTTGTTATCTAAGAAGATGCTATTTTCAATTGATTTTTCCCAGGCTCAAAGGCGTTGTAGAGTTTCGATCATTAGTTGTTTTTGTACCTAAATAGTTGTATTGACGTATGCATTCACTGAGAATTTAATTTTTCAAATTTAATTGGTTCAAAAATGACTTTGAAAAAATGTTAATATTTATTAAATTGTTAAGATAAGTGATTATTATAAAACGAAATACTAACGTCTATAGTTTAGTTAGTACTATTTTTCTTCGAATTTAAAAAAAATCGTTGTTCTAAGTTGATTAGATGCCGAGACAATTTTTTTTTTTATTTAATCGCAGTGTCCTTAATTATTAAGAGTCGAAATTTGGAGAGAGGGAGAGTATACATTAAGAGCTATATTTTCATGTCCTACATTAACATTAAGGTGAATTCAACTATTTAATTGCAAAAAAGAAGATAGCGGCGATGCGTTCTATTACTCGATCTAGCGAACGAGTGGGAAGAGCGAGGCTAAATAAAAAATTAAATCTCGGGTTGAAATAATGTTAATACCATAGCTTCAATGCTCATGAATTTTCGCGCCACCACAAATTAAAAAAAGAATCATCCAGCTCCATCGATTTGAAGCCGCTCGATCATTTTCCTGCGCGCTACCAGGCGCATGCTCCGCCTCGCTCTCCCCACGCGTTCGCTAGACCGAGTAATAGAACGCATCGCCGCTATCTTCTTTTTTGCAATTAAATAAATAGTTGAATTCACCTTAATGTTAATGTAGGGCATGAAAATATAGCTCTTAATGTATACTCTCGCCAAATTTATTCTCTTAATATTAATAATTAAGGTTAATTGGTAAATTGGTAATAGGTAAATTGAAAATAGCATCTTCTGATTTAACAAATTCCGCCAACCCCAAACCATTGAAGCTTTCGGGTTGAAATTTTTACCTCTTATTAAGGATGTAAAAAGCCTAAAAAATCCTTAATTACAAGTGTCCGCGATAAAAATTACATTAATTAAAATTAGCAATTGAAAAAAACGGCCATTTTCGACCATTTTTGAGCTCTTGCGCATAAACAAATTATTGGAATTTAATCGGACTTGTCTCATTGTATAGGCTTATTTAATACCTACCTTTTTCTTATAAACTTTTTTTCGCAATGAATAATAGTTTTTTACGCGAGTCAAAAAACCACTTTTCCGTAACTTTGACCATTGTTTAAACAAAATTTCCCAACTAGCCACGAGTTGATTTTTGATATTTTGTTTATAACCCGTTTCCGAACAATATTCCGCGGAGAAACTTCTAATAGTATTTTTTCCCCAAAACAGGCTGTTTCATGTCTATAATGACTGGACTACCATATAACCATAATTTTATGATATTTTTTAATTTTCCCTTTACCCCGTTTTATCCTATTTGGTTGATATTTGATTAGCGATGGGAAATTACAAGTACAGTTTCAGTAAAACGATTGACTATATGACAAAGATAGGAGATTTTAATAGTGAGGCAGGCATTTTCTGTCCAAACAATTTACTTAGGTCTGGTATTTAAATAAATGATAAAATTACCCCTACTTTATTTACCCTATTTGTACCTATTTTTAAAATAGATTAACTCTACTTGATCTATTTAATGAACATGAACAGCTAATAAAATGTGTTTATTAACAGATAATATGTGTGCAATCTAAAATTATAAATTGATGCAAAATTCTAAAAGTAGGTAGTCCTAGTAAGAAACAAATTTGAGCAAAATAATATTTTTGATAATATTTATATATAGGTATTAGTTACTTTTTCACTGACAACTTTTTGTTTGAGTGACTCTCAAATAAGTTCAACAAGTTAAGATCAGGGAGGTAAGGTGGCAGTATCAGAATAGTATAACCGTTCTGTAAAATCTGATCGACCTTATAATTTTTAAATGTTGCATTTTCTTAATAGTATAATATATGCTTTCAAGATGCGGATGTAGGGATTCTTTCAGCTTGCATTTGTATGTATCACAGACAATATAGCTTATCGCCACAGACTGCGTGTTAAGTGCTGGAAATTGGCAACCCGAAAAGGATGCAGGCTTTTGTCAGCCAGCGACCAGCAATAAAATTTAGCGTGGTAACTCTTCTACTTGGTAATATGCGGCAGTTCTTGCGGTGGCTTTGTTGCCAAATAATAACTGCCAAATAAATTGAATGCATTCAATTATGTAATTAGAGATATGGAACTTATCTTTTGTTTGGAAATCATTTTTTTGATAAATGCTAAAAAAATAAATCAAGTTAGAATTAAAACTGTGATTATACCTAATTAATTATTTATTTTATATCACCTTGAAACGGGAGAATTCAAAAACTTGAAATTAATGTTTTTAGATTTGTGCGTCGACTTCCAATTTGGTACGATATTAACACCTATCTTTAAAAAAAATTGCATTATACAGGTTGTGTATCCTTAGATGGGTACTGCTCTTATTGTTGATTTCCTTAGATAGGTAAAATAATTATTGATCCAAGTGTTGCATATCATGGTTGCAATTGCTCATATTTGTGACACAAGGTGTTCAAACAAATTAACACAATATAAAATTGCTGGAACCTCAAGGAGTAGTTGAATACGAAATTTATTTAAAAGAAAAACAACAAATCATCAATCAATGATCCCTTACAAAGGGATCCCTTACTTTTGACTTAAAAATTAGTTTAGTATAACACTATTTTCCCAACCCTATTTAACTAAACCTTGTCCTTTCAATATATTTCCTCGGATCCCTTTGTTTCATCCATCACATCTTCATAGAACTTTCTATAGGTACATTTAAGAATAGCTGTCTTTTTTTCTTAACGTTAGCACTACGCGATTGAAGTAATCCAAATTTGCTTTTGGTGATTTTGTATAAAAATTCTACCGAACATTCCAATCTCTGGGTATTTACGTCAAAAAAAAAGTCGGGTTGTTAAACACACATCATCTTTCTTAAGAATCTCTAAGAAAGAATGAGATGTTGTTATCGAAGCTGTTACGCAGAATTATCGCTTAACCCAAACGTAACCTCGCGGTTTCACGATAAACATTATTATTATTCCACAAATACAAATACGTTAGCTTTTTCGTTATATTTATTAAACACCAATTCGTACGTTCAGTTCTTGTTTAATCCGAGATGATTCGCGTTCTTAGCGCGACCCTCCTCTTGATTGCGTGTTTTCCTGCAGGAGTTTATCTCCAGCAGACGTCCGCAAGAGACGCAAATGCAGTCGTCGAATTCTACAACAACTGCACGTGCGTGCCTCAAGATCGATGCGATGAAAACAACGAGATATTCACCTATGACCCCAGTCTCATTATAGAAAGAAGGTAAGAGTTTTATAGCTGTGACCTGTCTAAATTGATGGGTTAAAGTTTGAAATAATATTATTTCAGAACGAAGATGAGAGCAAACGTAAACACAACGCGAATACTATGTCAAAGCGAGTCATCTTCAGTCCAACAGTATTGTTGTAAACAACCAAGCCCTGACATTACTACCATTAAACCAGCTGACAAAAACTCCGAAACGCAGAACGCGATCTTGGAAGTTTTCTATAAGTGCAAATGTGTGCCAGAGAATCAATGCGATGAAAATAACAATATCGCCACCGATGACCCAAGCTCTGTTATTCAACGAAGGTAATAATTTTCTCTCATAGTCAATGTAAGGAAATCACAACCTTTCACTAAAAAAAATAAATTGAAAACAATTTACTTCATCGTTATTTCTATTGCAATCTATTGTGAAATTACAAATAAAGTGCAAAGTTAGAACAGTAGACTGTTAAATTCTTTTGCAGTGTACTTTTCCGTCTTGCTAATGTGAAATTACTGTGTGATTATACAATACGAAAAGTATTTTTAGTTGTAATTTTTACAGTTATTTGTAAAATTGCAAAGCAGATGTATATTAATTGTGTAATTACATTATAATGATACATTTCGTACAGAAACAACAATGAATTTTTAGTTTTTATTTTGGATAATTATTTATTACTGATTATTTATTGAATATTTCAGCTATAATTCAATGCTTCTTGTAGCATGTAGCGCATAGAGCAGTTGTTTTCCTCAATATCCAATGGTTAGAAGTTTTGTCTGTGAGGTTTGACATATTTTTCATTTTGTGTTAGGTTTATTATTCATGTTTTCTAGAACTTATTCCCAATATTGTAATTGTCTTCTACGGTATGTGGGAAGTAATTCCTGTACAACAGTTATAGTCTTTCTGAAGTCAGTTGAACATGTAAAAAAACGCCTGGCAATAAAATTTGATGAGTTTCATAGGCGTCCCTAAAAAAGTTTTCTGATAAAGGTAAAAAATTATAATAATTTGTATATAATGCGCAGAAAATTTCTATTATATGTTAATTTGGCCAACAACATATCTTAATTATTTATGTCCCCATACAAGTTTATTATGTTGATGGTAAATTTCGTTTTGTTCCGTTTCAAAAGGTCTCCAAAATGCCATGTTGTAATAATATTATTTCTCCCTTTCGCAATTGTAATATGAATGATTAATAGAAGGTGCCTATAATAAATTAAAATTACGTGAATCACACCAAATTCCGCATTGCTGCACTGCACTGATGGGAAATTTGTCGACCACCTGTCAACCTGAGATTTATTGCCCAATGCAAATACAACTGTATTTGTATTTGGTTTGCCCGCGCTCGCATTCTTCAACTGGGCGTATACATTTCTACTACCTCCACGTTTAGTTACTGCGTCAGCGACCGAACCTGGTACATACTGTCATCCTCTTGGTTCTTCAATTGATATCGGAAAGACTATACCTTGTATAGGTCTAATTGCAGTTGTTTCATTAAAGATGTAAGGCATGTTCCAGTTGAAAGTCCTAAAAATAAAAATTTTAGGTCGAAAATTTAAAATAAAAATTTCGAAGGTAAATCTCTAAAACATAGATCTATTATAAACTGAATTTAAGAATATTTGCATGAATATACATCGATTTCCTGACCATATTCCTGAATTTATATACTGTGTCATTACTTGGCCAATAAAATAACCTAATTTATAATATCTTTTACCAGTTTGTTTTATGTAAAACCGGGTTTACTACATCTTCAAAAAAAAAAATTCATTGGTGATTTATTATAAAAATTTTTCCAAATGTTAGGTCAACAAAACTTTTTTTACTATTTATTAAATAAAATATTTTAAAACACTTTAAAACTACATTGGTCAAGTATTATTTAAATTTTATAAAAATATTATGCGCTGCATAGTATTAATATGTTTAATTTTCTAATATATTGTAATGAAACTATATTTTAACAAAGACGAAGGAAAAATGAAATGTAAAAATATTCCATTTTAGAACAAATCAAGTCGAGTTAAGGAATGTTCATAAGAATATTGCATGAAAAAAATTACCTATTGGAGCAGACAGCGATACAGACTTTGTAGGATTTATTCGTTGACGTATCTATATTATTGATGGCACTTTCTATCCATATATTTTCCTTTGTAAACGCAGATTTTGGTTTTAAATCTTTTGACAATAGCACATTTAAGTCAGTTTAAAAAAATGTCATATTCAATATTAGTCTAGTACCTAACCATGTGAATTTACCTGGAAAAATTTGTGGATTTTATTCTGCCACCTTGTATCTTTACCGCTCGCGCCGCTATTCAAAGAAAAAAGTAACCTGAAACCAATTTTTGCATATATCTTGTTCCTGGTTGATTTTACAACAAAAATGACTCTGTATTAAATTAAACTACAATTTTCTCTACAAAATGGGTATCTCTCATTTTTTTCATAAAACTAACCGTTTTAACGTACGAGAATTACAAAGTATACCAAGTACATAACGTGTAAATCAATACGCATTTATTGTGTTAAGCCTACCGCTCGGATGCAACAGTTGACGACGTCTGTCGTCTCTTCCCAATCAGAGTAAGCTCAAATTTCTTAATGTGTTGGAAAAACACCCCATTCTTCAAAAATTTAAAAAAGTATTTAAAGATGTAGCTAAATCTGGAGAATGTAAAGATGTAGCTAAATCTGTAAAGATGTAGCTAAAGCTGGAGAATATTTTCTTCTCATACTTCACGGCTATAATAAAAAGGAATTTATACCCTGTGAACACTTATAAAAACCAATGCTTCACAAAATCAGCATATAGGGATAAATTTAACATTAACAGAAGCAGCAGCAAAATAATATTCGTTTCGAACATATCATCAGGTACTGCAAAGGATTGGTAACGAAAAAACCGCAGATCAATAGGGATGGAAGAAAGACAAAAATAGTCTTGTCCCTCTGACTACACCCATGCCCCTGCTCCAGAAGTTCTTCTTAAACTAATTTCTTGTAAATGCGAGAAAGGATGTTGAGGAGCATGTGGATGTAGGAAAGCAGGGCTCAACTGTTCTATAATTTGCTGAAACTGTGGCAACATGCCTCAAGAATTGGAAGATAGTGGTGACGATGAAGACATTAATACGATCTTAGAACCACTGTGTAATGAAGTCGACACAGAAAGTAGAGAAGAAGTTACTGCGCTAGAAAAATTGATCCCACACGACTCTGAGACTTCGTTGCCTTCAACTGTCAAAAACATCGATAAAGCTGATCCCTCAGGCTTATCAAAGCGCAAGAAGTTATTATAATTTTTATTTATCAATTAATGTGTGGATTAGGTTAACTGGGGAACCCACAGAAGAAAAAAGGCACCATAGAATCTGGTGGTGTGGAAATGGGTACTACTTGTTTATGTAAACAAGGGTATTACTTTTCATTGCACGTTAAATGGTGACCTGTGTTAGTCTCCTACCCAAAACAGTTTTATGAAAAAAAAAGATTAGTACCTTTTTGCAGTAAATTTCTTATGGTTCTATTTCTTTTAAATGGTCTTTAAAATTTTTACATAACTATTTTTGTTGTAAAAGCAACGAGTAACGAGATATCTTAAAACATCTCTTTTTTTCTGAATTTATTACAATATGACGAAGCCGGCGGCAAAGATACGAGTTGGCAAATAAAAAATTTGAAATGAGAAGCTCAAAATACGTAAAGCTGCAGGATGTTAAAACTTCCGCAAAATTTTGCAGCTAAAGGTAATTTACGTCACGTAATTACTGGAGTGTATTTGCATCTGGAAATTCCGTCATAAATTGCTCAATACAGGAATGCAAAGAATATATCCATGATCCGCATTCATTTCGAGTTCCACTTGTTCCGAAATAAACTCAAAATTTTGTTTCTGTTACAACAATTACACAGCCCCAAAAAGAAATTCTATGCATCGGATTAGACCACTATATCCTTATGTTTTTGAGTTCGCCGAGTCCCAATCCGAGGTCCGTTTGACCTTGTCAGGTCAGGCTAAAGGCCATTTCAAGGTCATACCGAGAAAAATCCTCTGTGGTGGGGGCAACCATGGTTATTATATATTTTTGGGGTCGCTGAATCCGAATCCGAGATCCGTTTAACCTTGTCAGGTTAGGTTAAAGGTCATTTCAAGCTCAAACCAAGAAAAATCCCCGATGGTGGAGGCAACCGTGGTTATTATATTATGTTTTTGAGGTCGCTGAGTCCGAATCTGTTTGGCCTTGTTGTTAGATTAGATTCAAGGTCATTATAAAGTCACTCCAAGGTCAAACTGAGAGAAATCCACTATAGCGGGGGCAACCAAAGTAATTAAATGTTTTTTCGGGACGCTGAGTTCAAATTAGGGTTCCTTTTGTTTCTACCGGGTCAAGAACAATGTCATTTTGAGGTTAAACCGAGTAACTTTTAAATAGGGTTTAGTGGGAATACCCCAGATTTTTTTTATCGCTTTATTAGGACTCCATTTGATCTTGTTGCATCAGGGTCAATGTTATTTGAAAGCTACTTAATTCTAATACCTTGGCTTGTCTTACAAAGCAATTTTTGCCTCACTCATCTATAATGGACCGAAAGCCTCTCAACATTCACATTAGCATGATCTTTTTCAATTACATTTGAAAATCCGAAACTGTAATTTTATACAGCATTATTGGTTACTAACACTTTCATCCTTCGCGGTAAGAAAGGTTCTGGATAGTTGCCGTGTTTGAAGTTGAGGGAGAATTTTGGTAAACAGTTCAGTGCGTTTTATGGTACATGTTAACAATATAGTAATATTTGTTTCGTATTCTATGGTAAAATATGAGTGAGTATTCACATTCCATTAATGATAAAAAATTTTATAACTCGAAAGTAATGAAATTTTTACATGTAGACTGCCCGAATATCTCTGCATAAAATATCTTTACTGACAAGCCTAACCCCATTAAAATCATCAAATTTTAATCATCATTAAAAATCATCATCTAAGTAAAAGCCTCGTTCTTATGGTGGTTCTAATAGAGCATTTACAATCCTGCTACCATGAAGGATACTGGAAGCGATGACAACTGCTCCGAAAGGAGATGTGTAGAATGATTAGTTTCTTAATTTGACCTTGAAATGACCTTTAACTTGACCTGACAAGGTCAAACGGACCTGGGATTTGGACTAAGTGAGCCTAAAAACATAATAACCATAGTTGCCTCCATCATGGGAGATTTTCTCGATTTGACCTTGAAATGATCTTTAACATGACGTGACAAGGTCAAACGGACCTAGGATTCGGACTTAGCAACCTGCAAAACATAAGGATATAGTAATCTAGTCCATTGCACATAATTTTTTTTTGGATTGAGTTAGTCTGAAATTCGTACGATTTAATATTAAAGTAAAAGGGAACAATAAAACGATGGCAGAAAATCAATTGAAATGATAAGCTACTCAAAAATGCACAAATGTCGGTTTGGCATTATTAGTCATAATAATGGAGGTTCTGTATTATTTAATACGCCTCTATATGTACAATAGTAATTTATGTATGAGTAAAATTGAGACTAGAGGAAAAAGTACATTAAAAAGTATTCAGTTTTGCTTAACACCACAAATACACATGTACATATTTGTCGTTGTTTATTTGAAATATTGTTTTAGGACAAGTGCAAGACTAAATCGGATTCGGTGCGAAAGCGCCTCATCAGAAAAACTGTACTGCTGCAAGCAGCCAGGCAACACTGACAGCACCAGGACTAAACCAGTCATCGACAGAGGTCCCGTAGAAGTAAAATGTGGAAAGGGCATTTCACTCTTGGAGCCAAGGATATGGGCCAAGAAGGACGACGAGATTCCTGCTGATGGTGAATTCCCGTGGATGGTGGCCGTATTCAACAAGACTCCGTCTGGGAACTACCAGTTTCGATGCGGAGGATCACTAATTCACCCCAAAGTCGTGTTAACTGCCAATCACTGCGTACACAGGCAATACATTTGTTTTCTACATCACTATACTAAAAAAAATAAAAATAAAATACCAAATTATGATCCAGTGCCAAAATAGTAAACAGTGATTCAACATTAATATGCAAGCCCAGTGACGGATAAGGCGTGTAAGGAATGTGATTTCATAAGCGTATCATTTTAGAAGGTTCCAAAAATTGTTACATAGTTACAATGTACACACACACAGTTCCTGCTATCAAAATAAGCAGTTTTAACAAAAACTTATCTCTTCTTTCAGCCGCTAGAGGGCGTCAAATTTGGCAAAAGCAATACTATTTTTCAAATATATTCGAAAAGTAAATTTTGATATGATAATAACTGTTCCTCTTCAACATCTTGACCGTTAGGTCTTGACACCGTGATACTGCGACTTATTAGTCCAGGAAAGTTATACATAAAAAGAGGGAATAATGGAACCTTTTTACTCTGAGATGTCTGCCCTCAAAACCTACACTTTTCTATAAAAAAATCTCAGAGTAAAAAAAGTTCGCTTATTTTTTCCTTATTATCCCGAATATATTAAATATGGAACAGTAACTATATTGAATCAAGGAAAACATTGTTCGTTTCAGGAGAAGACCCAATGACTTTATAGTAGGAGCGAATGGAAAAATTGCACTACCGAATAAAAATACTGAAAGAAGACGCATCTCGGAAATCATTAAACATCCCAAATATACCCACTTTGGACGACTCTACAATGACGCTGCGCTGCTATTTTTGGAGGAATCGTTCCCGACAGAGGGCGATAATCGTATCAACACTCTGTGTCTACCACCAGATGGCCTGGATTTGGAGGACATGAACTGCTACGTAGCTGGATGGGGAAATGATCTCGATGGACAAGGTAAGAAAGTTCATTGAAACTTTAAGTATGTCAGTTACATTATGTTTCTTTATGGGATATTCTAATTTCAAATGATATAATATAGCCCAGTCATTATAGACATGAAAGAGCCTGTTTCGGGAAAAAATACTATTAGAAGTTTCTCTGCGGAATATTGTTGGGAAACCTGTTATAAATAAAATATCAAAAAATAAAGTCAACTCGAGGCTAGTTGGGAAACTTTGTTTTAACAGTGGTCAAAGTTATGGAAAAGTGTTTTTTTGACTCACGTAAAACACTATTATTCATTGCGAAAAAAAGTTTATACAAAAAAGGTAGGTATTAAATAAGCCTATAAAATGAGAAAAGTCCGATTAAATTCCGATAATTTGTTTATGCTCAAAAATGGTCGAAAATTGCCGTTTTTTTCCAATTGCTAATAATTAATGCAATTTTCATCGCAGACACTTGTAATTCAGGATTTTTGAGGCTTTTTACACCTTTAATAAGTGGTAAAAATTTCAACCCGAAAGCTTCATTGGTTTGGCGTTGGCGGAATTTGTTATCTAAGAAGATGCTATTTTCAATTCATTTTTCCCAAGCTCACAGGCGTTGTAGGGTTTTGATCATTAGTTGTTTTTGTACCTAAATAGTTGTATTGACATAGGCATTTACTGAGAATTTAGTTTTTCAAATTTAATTTGTTTAAAATTGACTGAAAAAATGTTAATATTTATTAAATTGTTAAGATAGGTAATTATTATAAAATAAAATAGTAACCTCTTTACTTTAGTTTTCTTCGAATTAAAAAAAAAATCGTTGTTGTAAGTTGATTAGAAGCTTAGATATTTTTTTTTTTTATTTAATCGCAGTGACCTTAATTATTAATATTAAGAGCCGAAATTTGGAGAGAGTATACATTAAGAGCTATATTTTCATGTCCTACATTAACATTAAGGTGAATTCAACTATTTAATTGCGAAAAAGAAGATAGCGGCGATGCGTTCTATTACTTGGTCTAGCGAACGAGTGGGGAGAGCGAGGCGGAGCATGCGCGCTTAACAATTTAATAAATATTAACATTTTTTCAGTCATTTTTAAACAAATTAAATTTGAAAAATTAAATTCTCAGTAAATGCATATGTCAATACAACTATTTAGGTACAAAAACAACTAATGATCGAAACCCTACAACGCCTGTGAGCTTGGGAAAAATGAATTGAAAATAGCATCTTCTTAGATAACAAATTCCGCCAACGCCAAACCAATGGAGCTTTCGGGCTGAAATTTTTACTACTATTAAGGGTGCAAAAAGCCTAAAAAATCCTGAATTACAAGTCTCTGCGATGAAAATTGCATTAATTATTAGCAATTGAAAAAAGCAGACAATTTCGACCATTTTTGAGCTCTTGCGCATAAACAAATTATCGGTATTTAATCGGACTTGTCTTATTTTACAGATTTATTTAATACCCACCTTTTTTGTATAAACCTTTTTTCTCTATGAATAATAGTTTTTTTACGCGAGTCAAAAAAACACTTTTCCATAATTTTGACCATTGTTTTAACAAAGTTTCCCAACTAGTCTCGAGTTGATTTTTTGATATTTTGTTTATAACACGTTTCTGAACAATATTCCGCAGAGAAACCTCTAATAGCATTTTTTTCCTGAAAAAAATCTATAATTACTGACCTAATACGGTTCAATATTTTAAACAAATTTCATTATTTAGTATAGGTGAAAACGATCATATCCTCATAAAACTTTCCTGAAGTTTTTGTTTCGATAAAACAAATATTCAAAATTGTACCCTATACATTTAACATAATACTCTAATCGTCACTATTTACAGCGCTACTATCATTTAAAGCACATACAATCAGAGATTTATTAATTGTGGATTGGGATATATTCTTAGAAATTTTTAATAAAAATATATTTATTTAATATATCAGATTTCTTGGTATTCCATCCGGTATCTCAATTGTGTGACGTCGTACGTCATGTTCTCGAATTTCCTCCTCCCATTCTCTGAAATAAGGTTACTAAGTGTCACAAATTTATTTCTTGGGGTAGCAAACACCAAAATGGACATCAGGTGAAAAAAGTACATAGACATTTATGTTCATTTAAGTTTTATGTTCATTTGGCCAATAACATACTTTCGTAATTTGATATAGCTAGTCAAATATTTCTTTTTTAAGCTACAGTATTTCTACATAAAAAATGTATCCATCTACATAGAGTTAGTTTAGATCAGGTAAGTTTTTTTATATTAAATAAGAAACTATTTAGAAACTTAACCTTACGGAAATTATTAGAAAGTTATAATTATAATTAGGTTACAAATTAGGCTGTTTCTTTTTAATAAATATTAAAAAACTCCGACGTAATTTAATCCATAAATAAATGAAATTAGATGTGCCATATTTTTTTATATTAAATAACAAATAACCTTAACCATAACTACTTGTGGAAACGATTTAAAAATTTTTTTATATTACGAGTTATTTAGAAAAAAAAACATTACTTAACATAACTTTATTTAGACAGATAAATTTCTGCATGAAGTTAGGTTAGGTGAGTTTAATTTTTTTTAATGAAAGAAAGAATCTCAGTCAAACTTCTAGTTCTAATAATTTTTTTTCTAATAATTTCATTCTAATAGTAATTCTTTTCTAATAATAAAGTTAAATCAGGGATTCAGTTTTTTATTTAATATAAAAAAACTTTGCTGACCGAAGCTAACTTTATGCATGATAGATAACTTTTTATACAAAGGTAGGTTACGTCAAGGTTTCTTTTATGTGGTAATATCATAAAGTATAGTATTTATGTAATATCTCAGTTAATTGATATGTTAATCATTAAAAATTAAAGTATATTTCAGATATCATTTATAATCTATTTGCTACCCCTGTAAATAAATTTGCAATACTTAGTTATCTTATTTTAGAAGATAATTAAGTACAAATTAGAAATATAGAGAGAATAACCAATGAATAGTAAGAGATCAAATAGAAACATTTTTCTCGAAAATTATATTTGGCTGAACAAAACTAATATCAGATTCATGTTCAGCACCCTCGAAAATCGGGGTTAGGAAGTAGAAAAAGGCTAACGTCATTGGTTCTGCGGCCGCAGCATTTTGCCTCTACTTACAGTATTGTGTAATAACAAACCAACAATAACTGTTTCGAAGTACCCAATTCTTAGATTTAGTAAAGCTTTCGGTCCTGGGTTCTTTGTTGTTGTTTTAAAGGATTTTATATTTATATGTATTTTATTTTAAAAATTAACATTATCTTTCATTTCTTTGGACGAGGAACTTGAAAATGAAAATAAATAAAAATAACGATTATAATGTTCTTATTTCGACCCTAGGTGACCAGAACATGAAGAAGGTGCAGCTGCCTTTTGTTGACCACAACCAGTGCCAGGCCCTTCTGAGAAGGACCAGGCTGGGGCAAAACTTCCGCCTTCACAGCTCCTTCATGTGTGCTGGTGGTGAGGAAGGTAAAGACGCTTGTATAGGAGACGGAGGAGGGCCTTTGATGTGCGAGATGCCTTCGGAGGAAGAGCGGTATTTCCAAGCCGGGATCGTGTCTTGGGGTATTGGGTGTGGGACGGAAGACGTTCCAGGGGTTTACACAGATGTTGAAAAGATCACTGAGTGGATAAAGAAGGAACTTGAGCAGAGGAATTTGATTATTTAGTTTTTTTTTATAATATGGATAAATGTAAAATTAAAGGAATTTTAGAAAATATTGTTAAATTTAATTACACACCGCTACAAATAAGTGGGTTAGTCTGTAGACCAGACGAATCATATTTCCCGGATTAATTAGCGAGAGTTTAGAACCATGAAACTTTGTGGGAACATGGATCTCGTACTACACGACTACGAGTTTCCCTAACTCCATAACCCTGTAACCATTAAACCCTATGGGAATATGTATCTCATACATCTGGGATCTGAAACAACATGACTGTGATATTGATAGGCCTCCACAACTTTGAATTGCGTATTGTTGGTTGTTGGACACCTTAGTACCTCGTGTTAACCGCCGCGCCGTTGTCACATTGCTCGATATCAATTTTATGGAATTTTAAATTTACTACAGCGCTAATTAGTTTTTAGAATTAAGCATAAAGAAGTTCAAAAAAGTGATAAAAATTGTATTTTATGGTATTCTGTGAACACAGTGTTCCTTAATTAATAGAACTTTTGTACATCAATCTGGAGATTTTGATAATTTTTTTTCTCGGAAATGGTTGAGTTTAGGACCCATGTCATGTAAGGTTTTTTTTTTGTTTAGTTAAATATATTCTATCGCTGTCAAAATTAAGACAGTCAAACTTCTAACACCCTGTATAAATATAATTGACAATATTGACATGCTTATGAACATAAACCCACTAAAAAGTAGTAACAAATTTATTAGTTTTTATTTTAGCTTAATTATAAATTAAGTCCTTTTTAAAATCTAAACAACTATCATAATTCTTTTTGGAAATATTTTGATGCAGTTAAATAATTGTAGCTATCAAGTAAGTACATGTAAGATTTAACTTTGAATGGGGTTCATGGAGGCTATATTTGATTTAGGCCCAGTACTTTGAGCCTCGGTTAAAGACTGATTAACTGATCAGGCAATTAGACTATTTTTTTTTATAAAGTATAATCACAGTCTAATCGCCTTAACTCAAAGTACCGGGCCTAAATCTTTAGAAACACATATAGGTTTGTTTCCTCAAATTCCGTAATTAAGGCTGCATTATTTTTAACCTTCTTTTTCACAATTTTCATACCATGTCGCTAGACACGCTAGTGTATTATACAGGGTGTCCTATTTTAATGTCCCACCCCAAATATCTCGAAACCCGAGCAGAATGAGGAAAAATGTTTTGGACAAAAGTTATAGGGTTCGAAGGGGGACATACGATGGTGACCTTGAAAATGACCTTGAAGTCGATTTTCAAGGTCAAACGAGGGTTAACTTCGATTTTTCAAATGAAAACCCCTATTTTTTATTGCAGGATCGTATTCTACGGAAAAAATACAAGGATGGTTATAATGAAGGCGTCTAATAGTCAACACCCATTTCGCCCTTCCACAAATAAGAAGTAGATCTTATTTGTGGAAGGGCGAAATGGGCGTTGACTATTCGACGCCTTCATTATAGCCATCCTTTTCTATCATATGGATTTCTATGGCTTACTTTATCGCTCTCACGTAACTTCTGATAGACCATCGGTACTTTCCTACACTGTATATTATGGGGTTGCCTATTTTTTGGCGTATGTGACGTCACTACTAAAAAGATCTATTGGGATCTACGGTATGTATTGTTGTCAAATCTTATCTTTCTAGTTGTTCACGCTCTGTGTTCACTAAACACTGAAATATTTGCCTGCCTAGAATCATTCCGTCATTTGCATTAGAATTAGAAGAATTGATATTATGTAGTTCACTTAAACTAAGTCAATATCATAGGAGATTGACACTGAGATTCATAAACTGAACACAGTGAATTTAGAGGTTGCCGAGGTATTTATACTTTTTCGAGATATTTCGGAAGCTTCCTCAAAGGGCTTAGACGTATTTCATTATGTATGGTTTGTGACGATCTTTCTACGCATGAACCCAGATGTCACATAGAAGGTCGCCGTTCGGGTAACAGCCGTGGAGAAAAGTGTAAACAAGGGGTCTTTATAAGAAAACCACTTTTTTTAATTGGTATACCTACTTCCGTTTATTTACAAAAATTCACCACTGACAAATCGGTGACGGTCGGTACTAATATTCGGAAAAATGTCGGAAAATGAAACTTTTCCTAATTCGGTTTTTAACTCAGGTTGGCAAGTGAGGAACCCTGATAGGGACCCTCGGAGTTTTAGCAAATGGGTTCCAAGAACAGGAAGGATAATAATAAGAGGACTTACTTCGTGCTGAGGAAATTGCCGATGAGCACTACTCCCTTTCATGAGCGGAGCTCAACTTTTATAGCCGATTGGTAACGTAAACAAACTGTTTATCCGATATTAGTACTCACAATCAGACCTGCAATAAATACAAAATTCAATGCATACATTACTAACATAGGAAAAGACAATCGTTCATCGGCTAAATTAATAAAGATTCATTACAGGTTTTTGAGACGTTCCGAAGTTTTTAAAAGTTTCCGATCCATTTCTCATCTATTCGGACTATTTTAATTTGACTGCGAATTTGAAGTATTTTCTTGGCATAAACCTTCGATTTAAAAAAAGCCACAAAGAAAAAAGTCAAACGGCGTTAAATCGCATGAGTTGGGCAGACAATCCTGATCACCAGAACGGGAAATTGCACGACCAGGAAATTACTCATGCAGTAATTGAATTGTTTCTCGGAATGTACCGTCTTGTTGAAACCACATCCATATTTTGCAATTTAGACACAAAAAATGTCGCGATAGACACAATATTAACTGTAATAGTCTGACCTGCCGCATTTTTGAAGAAGAATAATCTGATGATGACTTACCAAAATGTACGCGTTTTCATACATTGATTATTATCATACAACTACCTCGTTTATCATGCTAGTTTACAACTACCCTAATCATTAACAGCTTCGCCACTAACACTCGCACACGATTCTACTACTAAAAACACTGAAATACCTAAAATGGACAATAATTACACGTTTTCTTCTTGCACGCATATGGCACGAAAGGAAACACCTAAGTTGGAAATTGACAAATCGAAAAATACATCTATACAGTTTGATTTATTTATTTAAACTCTGGTATAATATAAATATTTCAACCTATCAAATTGCGCCATACAATTATCGCTTAACCTCGGTATAACCTCAGTTGATAATCTTATTCTTAATAAAGTGAAACATCAAATACTTGTTACTTGTTAATGAATGCGGATTTAGATTGTCCTTATTAAATTTGAGATGATTTGGACTATGAGTGTAGCCTTACTGTATATAGTGACCTGTTTTGGAGATGCTTCTACGCCGAGTCTGAAAAGAATTGAGAGACAGTCACAAAGTGATGAAAATGCGGCTATAGAAGCCCGCCATGGTTGCAAATGCGTGAAGTATATTTTGTGCGCTGGTAATAACGATATTGACATCTACGGCGATAACATCTTTGAAAAAAGGTATGTTTTGTAAATTAATTAGAATTGAATTTATTCTTTCACCTGAGTTGACCTGTAAAAATAATTGAAATAAATTTTAGGAGTAAATTACCTACGAAAATACCGTGCAAAGGGGGGACATTTCCGAATGAAATACTTTGCTGTAACCAGAAGAATACAGGAACTACTAGAAGTCGCGTTACAAGACTCCCCGAAGATGTAACGTGCGGGTTCCAAAACACAGGCGTCAGAGACGAAAATTTGGCTCCTATTGATGGAGAGTTTCCGTGGGTTGCAGCTATCTACAAGACATCTAATACAGGGAAATACGAGCTTCATTGTAGCGGGACTCTGATTCATCCCAAGGTGGTGCTAACTGCCAATCATTGTGTAGTCTCGTAAGTTATTTTTTCTCAAATTTTAAGACCTCGTCGTTTTCCATGTTCCAAAATCAAGCAACTGGAAAATTTTTATCCACAATCATAACAGTTTATAAACTAATTTTAGCTATAACTATACTATCATAAAGTCTAAAAAGTAAGTTTCTTAAATTACTTAAAAAATAAATTTAAAAAATGAACTGCCTAATTATTTAAAAATAAATTACTTAAACACTTAATTACCATACAATAGTCAAGAAGTCGGATTGTTAGTTATATAACTGGAAACTGACGGCTACAAACACAAAAGTCTACCATTCAACTGAGATTTTCGGTAAAACGATACACTATACCGATTTTCAACAAGTATACCTTTTTTTATGTAGAATGGTCCACGGAATCTAAAAATGAATCCCAAATGATTATTAGGTCATTGGCGTAGAAGTACCTTTAAGAGTACTTAACTAACATTTTGGTTTAGACCGTATACATTTTGTGCTTAAATAAATACTTTTTATTAGGGAGCTCGCTTAGTTATACATAAATAATTTTTCCTATTTATAATTGTTTAGGTATGAACTCGGTTTATTCCAATTCTAATTATCCTATTCTTGTTTCAGTAAAGAACCTAGCGCTTTAACAGTGGTGGTAAATGGAAAAACAAATTGCTTTCTAGGGACATCTACACCAGATGAAAGGAGTGGTGTGTCTGAAATCATAAAACATCCCAAATATAATTCTGGCGCACGTTACTACGATGCTGCCCTTCTAATCCTTGACAGACATTTCGCAGTTGGAGGGCAGGGACTGATCAACACCCTGTGTTTACCGCCCGATAAATTCGATTTAGAGGGCGTTAGGTGCATAGTGGCTGGGTGGGCAAAGAATGAACAGAGTGAGAATAATTTATTTTTCAAACCATTTTAGTAGGTATACTGCGAAAAAAATTACAGTAAAATTTCAGTAGAAAACTTTGGAATTCTCAAATCGGCCCAAGAGTATCATAGCTTACTTAATATTCATGGACATTATAGCAATGCCAACAGATAACACAGCCCCACAAAAAAAAAAGTGTTCGGACTTGTGGGTCGGACATATGTATTCCCATGTATTTTTTGACGCTGAATCCGATCCCACTCTTGCTCGAATTCCAGAATTTAAAAACCATTTAACACCACTGTTGCGATTGCGACGTCCGAAACACGATTTTCCGGCCCCTAAGGGGTCATTTTCCCGGTCACAAACGGGAGATTCCAGTTGGCCATAAACTTTTCAAGTACAGTCAAAGTTCCAGAATTTAAAAGTACATAAAAATACCACTGTTGCGATTGCGACGTCCGAAACACGATTTTCAGGCCCCTAAGGGGTCATTTTCCCGGTCCCAAACGGGGAATTTCAGTTGGCCATAAACTTTTCGACCACAAATCCGGCTTTGGCTTTAGAATGCACCTTCGACCTTGCCTCATCCCGGAATCCATCTTTCAGTCCCTATAGAGGCCATTTTTGGCCCCTGGGGCCAATTCCAGACATGGAGGGCCATTTCTGAGCTCGAAATCGGATTCAGCGTCGAAAAATACACGGGAATACATATGTCCGACCCACAAGTCCGAACACTTTTTTTTTTGTGGTACTGTGTAATATAAGACTTGAGATGGCGTGAAGTATTATTGTGTTAGTGGCAGTTATTGTAAGGTAGAATAAACTGTCAGCAAAAATGGCATGTCTGTCGAAATACACGTCAGCTAGACTTTATTATTTTACGTTTTCTGAAAAAAGTACTTAATTCCTGTTTACAAAAAGTTATTCACAATTAAAATGTATGTCCACTGTCCATATACCGTATTTGAAGGTAATTCGTCAACTCTGATATTTTTTGATTTGTGGAATTATTGAATTGAAACTTAAACCGATTGCGATTGTCAGAAAATTTAGGACTATAATATGATTTTTTCTAAAATATTTAATAGTATTAAATGAAAAGTAATTAGAAAATTTATCACTTTAGAATATAATTTTCAATAATATCAGCATTTCTTTTGTTAAAAGGCAACAGATATTACTTTTTTGAAATGTCTGAAAAAATTGTAGTCGTAGTGGACATCATTACAGTAGGTACGCTTCAGCAACGTCAAATATTATTTGATGTTAGAAACTACATATTTCAATACATCTTTTATATTAAATAAAATTTGCACTAGCATACAATTTTTCTCAGTAAGACTTTTAGAATAAGGACTTGTTTGATACTAATAATATTTACTAAAAGTAATTTTTTTCATTCTCTAGATGTGCAAATACTAAAAAAAGCAACAGTGCCCTTTGTAAATCACGATCAGTGTCAAACCCTGCTAAGAAAAACCAGGCTGGGTCTGTATTTCAATCTCGACCAGTCCTTTATGTGTGCAGGGGGTGAAGAGGGTAGAGGGGCTTGTACAGGTTCCGGAGGAAGTCCCCTGATGTGCTCCATACCTTCATGGAGTAGTCAGTATTCTCAAGTGGGAATCGTGTCCTGGGCCATCGGATGTGGGATGAAAGACGTTCCAGGAGTTTACACGAGCATCGGAAAAGTCGCCGAATGGATAAATAGTGAATTACAAAATAGAAGTTTGAAAATATAATGGTTGGACCGTTGAATTTAAAATTAATTTTCTATACTTAATTTTGTATAAGTTACAACTTCGTCATTTGCAGACTTCTCTCTTTTCATATTTGCTGGAAAGTTATAATTTTTGACATATTTCAGGATAGAACGACATAAAACAACTTAGTTCTCCAGAACAGTTGAAAGAAACACGCAAATCAGTTGCAGCAAGCGTTGTTAAAGTTTTATGTTTAATAGTAATTAATAATAGGTATTTATTATTAAATTAGTCATTAAATTTGATTTTTCATATTCTTGTTAGTCACTTGAAATGATAAATTTGAATATATGTACTAGCTGTCAACAGGAGCTGGATTCAGTTCAAAATTAATTATTATATAATCGAAAGATGGGAAAAAATCAAAATCAGTTAACGTGTTTCGGCGTTTTAAAAAAAATTAACTCATTCAAAAGATATGAATTTTATTCCGTACTTCTGGCCTTCCCTGTATAGCAGAAATAGGCTGAATCTATGGTCAACTCGTGTGCTACTCTTTGCTCACGATATACAATGTTATTGACTGCGATAAAAACACGTGCCATACATCGACCAAGCAAAGTGTAAAACTCACTCAAACACGCACAAACGACAATCAAATGCACTGCCAACGTCCCTCAGCAAAAAACCTGGCTTGTTGACTGTCACGCCAAGCCAACAGGGCAGGCATTAGGGTGCCGCTAGATACGTATCGAATAAATTGTTCGATGCGAAGCTTCAGATTGTACAATGACGTGGATAGTAGGATTACTAATATTTGATGTTTTGCCATCATTATTAAAAATAGCATCTATTAAAAACTTTTACTATTTTAGATATACACCTGTCACTTCGGTAAATGTTGAACGGAAAACAAAAACATGCTTAAAAGCTATTTTGTAAGTAATATAAAAAGAAAACATTATTAATAATTAAAAGCTGCAATTAAAAAAGGATAGTATACAAACAGATAAAATATAGTGATTTTATTTTGGTAGTGCAGGAATTAAAAATATCCAACCGATTGCTTAATAAATTAAAATAATTACACATTGTGTAAATATGTGAATATTTAAGTATATTTGTACGTAGTGTAGATAAGTTAAAAGTGTTTCCCTCTATTGAATTGAACGTAAAAATTAAGATGATGCATAAGATCTGGACAGTCAATCTGGTTATTCAAAATTTTAAGTAATAATAGTACACAGTGGCAGTGACGCCTTAAATCAAGACTTTTCGACGAATGTCGATCTAATAAGTCGGATTGTGGAAAGCCAATAGGTGTAAAAATACCATCTATATTAAAATTTAGATATTTAACAATTTTTTTTGTACTGCTTCGATATTCTGTACAAATTAATTAAAGTGAGGAGACCAAACGGGTGCAGCATACTTGAGATTAGATCTAACAAAAGAAATACATACAGTTTTTAGCGTGTTTATTTGGACAAAATCTTTACTGTTTCTGACTATGAAACCATACGACTTACAAGCTTTAGATATTAGTTTTTCAATATGTGAATTAAAAGATAACTTATCATTAAAAATAACACCGAGATCGTAGTGTTAAAGTAACACCGCTAAAATTCTAGTCAAACATAATTTTTGATGGTTTTAAAGTGTAAGATATTATGTTACACTTCTCAGCATTCAATAGAAGTCTATTCAATTTGCACCAGTTGTCAATTTGAATCAAATTATTTTGAAGATGTATACAATTAGTTATATCATTGATAAAAATATTGAACAGTAGAGGGCCACGAACAGATCCTTGCGGGACTCCCGACGTGGCTAAGTAATCTACAGATTTACATCCTTTAAGTAGGACATACTGAACTCTATTTGACAAATAACATTCAAATAATTGTAATAGGTAATTCGAGAGACCAAAATCGTTAAACTTTGGTAGTAACATTTGATGGTCAAATCTGTCGAATGCCTTCGAAAAGTCTGTGCAAGTAACATCTATTTGCAATTGTTTATCAATGGATTCAGCCATAAACTGTGTGATTGTTATTAAGTTGTTCATAAATTCATGCTAACGAACTGAAATTTTGCTACTGACACTATAATAAATACGACTATTAAGTAAATATTCAATGCACTAGCAGACTTTTAAAATAAAAGCTGGCACATCATCTGGCCCTGTTGTCATTTTAGGCTTAGTACGATTAAGACCGGCTAGAACTTCACTGTCGTTAAACTGTATTATGTGAACTGTGGGATAAACTTCAGTGGGAGCTAAATTTAGATGTATATCACAATTTCACAATTTAACATGAGCTCTAATGTTTTCCTGTTTTTCCCCGTGTCGACTTAGAAGCTGCAGATTGTTAACAATCTTCGCTCCGAGCGGGCGCCACCTACATCTCACGAATAAAACTAATCTTCAGTAATTTCAAAGCAATAAATTTGAAGATAGGCCGCGATCAACACATTATTCACAGACAAAATAGCTTAAGCTATATTGTCTGTGCATTATTTAATCATTTCTTAAAAAGACACGCACGTTAAACAGCTCATCTTTTTAAAAATGCATTGCAATACATTTATTTTTTTTTCTCATAAATCTTTAACTTTTCGAAAAAACTTGAATTGATCAATAATACTTCAGGGTTGAAAAAATTTCAAAAAGTGCAGTTTTTTTGGCAGATAATGTTCACCATGTGTGTTTTTTTAGCTTGACATACACGGAAGATAAAAAAGAAAAACAATTTTTTTTTGAAAATTTTGGAGGGGCGTAACTTTAAAGGGGAGAGTTTTTTCATAAAATTTTATACCAAAGATCCCTAGTAATTTTCATCAGAGAATCGCCCCTTATATTTTTTCGGTGTTATTTAGATACACCCTGTATAAAAATCTGTTATCTTTGACATGCCAGTCGATAATTTCAAAATTTTATTTTAATTAATACATACTTTGCCATAATTTTAAATTAAGCGATTATTCCATATCTGGTACACTATTATGAGTGCACAAACTGCACAAGCAAAAAAATCGTTACTCATTCAGTAGGTTAAATCAAAATCTTGTCTGCGACAAGGAAATTTCATAAATCTCATAGCGATATGAGATGTTTACCACGTTTGCTTCGAAGAATTATTATCTTTTAACCCCTAGTGTATCACTAGGCTTCAACGGTAATCACTTCTATTAATAACTAACAAAATATGCGAGTACAAGTTTATATTATTCATTTATTATATCCAACTTGGCTTTCGAAATGTATTGGTCGGTGGGCATAGCCGTTTTGCTGGTAGTGTTATCTCTCGAAGGGCTATTGACTCAGCAGCTATCGAATGAAGAAGAAAATGCGAAGATCGAAGCCAAAAACAATTGCAAATGTGTGAGGCATTTCCAGTGTAAAAACGATACCAATAGTATCGACGTCTTCGGAGAGAATATTTTTGCACCAAGGTATGTTTTGAAGAATTAATGTAGCGTCGCACGTAGTTGTACTGGCCAGGTCCTTTGACCTGCGATCGAGAGGAGCCGACACATTCAAGGGGCCCGTTTCTACGTTGTCATGCATATAATAAAAATGACCTGTTGAAATTATTTTCATAATCGAATCGAAAGATTGAATATATTTTTTTCTGAATCCACTTTTTTAGTTCGCTTTTATATCGAAATAAAATATGTTGTCTCGATTTCCATTTCTGTTCGGTGTCTTATGGCGTATTTTTTTACTTTTGCAGAAAATCATTAATTCTTCTTCTAGTGGTTAGTTCTAATCATGTCTCATAGCAGCGCGGCCTTATCAGAGCTATTATTGTGCGTGCCACTATTCAGTCCTATTCAGCAAGTAGTTTTGTTCCTTTTACAGAGTCCAAAAGCTTCTTTGCCGACAGCCCTGACCTTGAAGCCCAGTATTTCTTGTGTTCTGATTCAGTGCATCTGCCCAGAGCCCCCTGACCACACTAGGAGATGTGCCAAAGAAGGGCTCCGGGCCAATGAACTCTGTTTCGGATCCCTTGCTAGCAAGTTAATTCGGTTTCTTGATTCCATCAATGCCTTTATGTCCTGGCGCCCAACACAGGCTACTGTATTAGTGGTAGCCAGTTGGCTGTCAAAGAAGTATAAGTTTAAATGGAAGGCATATTGAATATCAGTTTAAGCTTGGAAATAAACATTACGATAAGTTACTTTAATTGTCCAAATTTCATTGATGTCGTCATAACAACTTAGAAGTGGTAATTGAAATTTGTTTTCAAACTTCTTTCTTTGAAGGCGAATAACTCCGCAACGAAGCCCGATAGGAAATTTGTTGTTATGAAGTATGTACTACAACTATTTTGAGCTCTCCTGTATACCCCTTCATTTTTGACATGACCTTTCCGGACACCCTGTATACACAGAGAGTTGGTGCATGTTAAACAATACCTTAATTGCACCGTCTATTAGATACGAAGATGAACTACAAAATGTCATACCATACCACGCGGAATTAACGAACAAGCAAAAGGAATAGTACGGGGGATGTAAAGTACATAAACATGTACGCTTAGAAAATTATATTGTATCTGTCACTTACTTATGCAGACATACATACGTATATGACATTTGGTTTTTAATGACAAATAAAATATCAAGTGATGTAAAAATAATTTTTTAGGCTGGTTCATGTTAAAGCACTTCATCTATTGATTTGAGTTGTTTAAGGCACACTTTAACATTTGCTATACAAAAAATATAATTTTAGAATACGCAGAATAGAATGCAAAGGTGGAGAAATCACCAACGAATTAGTTTGTTGCAAACTGGACAACGTCGTCACTACCCAAAAACCCACTGACAGGGATCAAACTAATGTGATACCGGTTGGTCCTACTAAAACTCCTTGCGGTAGTGTCAAGACGTCTGTAATACCAAGAATCCACAATAAAGACGACGACTTGACAGCAGTGGACGGTGAGTTTCCGTGGATAGTCGCCATCTTCAATAGTACCCAATTCCACTGTGGTGGAACACTGATTCACCCCAAGGTCGTGCTGACAGCCAATCACTGTGTGTACAGGTATACCGTTTATTTATCCTATTATATCTATGGTAATTCACATTCTCAGAAAACCAGAAAATTCTGAAAAAAATAGAATGATAATATCAATAAAGTAACCCGAAAGAAGTTGGCAAATTGCAAATAAGTTTCAAAATTACATGTTTTTTTCACTTTTTTTACTTGCCATGAAAATCTAGACGATATATCGGAAAATTAATTGTTTGTATGTTGTAGGCAATTAAATTATCTACAATTTAAGTACCTGAAGTCACTTTTCACCTATTTGTTAATACAGGGTGTCCCGAAATTAGGGGACAGTATTTCTATGGGGTGTTCTATGTCGAAAAATATTACTTTTTCTTTATATAAACATGAGGCCAAAAATTCTTCCTGATGAAGTTATAGCCACATAAAGGGACCACTCTGATGATGGTTTTTTGTAACTAACGAAACCAGTTGAGATAAATTTATAATTGGTGATTAGCTTAACTCTTACGTGCTCAGTCCGCCACTGAAACGAAATTTACAAATTTTCATCACATACGTTCCAACACTGGGGGAAGGGTGGTAAAATTCACCATAACTTTTATATGCGTTGACTTTTTTAACTTTTGACTGAAAAGTATGAAATTTCATAGTTTTTTATTAAAAAAAGGTACTTTTGGTTCATATTTGTTCAAAAATTCAAAATTATTTTGTGTGATTTGATTTTCAGCCAAATAAATTAATCCTCTGTTGTAATTCTTCCAAATGATTTATTTCTGTAACATAAACTACAGCCTTCATCCTACCCCACAGAAAATAATCTAGAGGATTTAGGTCTAGAGACCGAAGTGACCATGGAATGGGACCACCTCTACCTATCCACCTGCCAGGAAAATGATCGTTTAACTAATTTATGACATTATGGCTAAAGTGAGGTGGTGCCCCATTTTGGTGGTAGTGTAACGGTGTTTCATCCAATAGTTCTCGTACATCATTTTGCAGAAAGTTGAAGTATCCTCCTGCATTCAGACAAACGGAAAACTGAATTGATCCAAGTAGCTGGTCCCCTAAAATTCCTGTCCACACATTTATTTCAAATCTGTTTTGAAAATTTGTGCGCCGTATTGCCCGTGGATTTTCGTCTGACCGGAAATGGGTATTATGAATATCTGCTAGCTCTACATTAGTAAAATATCGCATTTCGACTGATAACCCTTCGCAAAGAATAAATAACTGAACTGTCAATGCAAATGACGCCAAACGCATGTTTGTTATTTAAAACCTGCGATGATAAAAATATTGAAAATTATTATTTTATTATTTTTAAATAGATTTTACACAAAAATGGAACATTCTACCAATATGAACCAAGAGTACCTTTTTTAGTAAAAAACTGAATTTTCATACTTTTCAGTCAGAACTCAAAAAAGTCAATGCATAAAAAGTTATGGTAATTTTTTGTAAATTTTGTTTTAGTAGCGGGCTGAGCACGTAAGAGTTAAGTTAGTTACCAAATTTTATAAATTTATCTCAACTGGTTTCGGAGTTATTTAGAAAAAACCATCATCAGATTGGCCCCTTTAAGTGGCTATAACTTCCTTAAGAAGAATTTTTGGACCCACGTTTATATAAAGAAAAAGTAATCTTTTTCGACATAGAACACCCCGTAGAAATATTGCCCCCTAATTTCGGGACACCCTGTATATAGAAATATTTGTAAAGCAGAAGAGTGACAGAATGTTTTCTTTTCTCCCTTGATGATATTAGATACATAATTGAATCTGCTTTTTGTTTTATTTAAAGTTGGTTCTCTTTTCTGATTCCAGAAAGAATCCTAATGACTTCACAGTGAGAGCAAATGGAAAAGTCGATCTCCCTGGAGAAGGTCAATCTAAAAAATATGTTTCGGAAATTATCGGGCATCCCAGATACGCACATACTGGCCGGCTCTATCATGACGCTGCTTTGCTAATCCTCGATACGCCTTTGGTTGATGAAAATATAAACACGCTGTGTTTACCACCTCAAAACTTTGACTTGGAGGGCAGAAAGTGTATAGTGGCTGGGTGGGGACAGGATCGAAGCGGAAAAAGTGAGTAATATTTTTTTTAAATAAAAGATCAAAAAATTAAAAAATAACCAATTTGCTCTTTTAGATCGTCAAAAACTGAAGAGAGTCGAATTACCCTTCGTTAGTCGCAACCAATGCGAGACGCTTATGAAGAACTCCAGGCTTGGAAGGAACTTCGACCTGCACAGCTCCTTCATGTGTGCTGGGGGTGAAGAGGACAGAGACGCTTGCATTGGAGATGGGGGCGGTCCCTTGGTATGTGAGATGCCTTCTGATCCAAACCAGTTCTTCCAGGCCGGAATCGTATCTTGGGGAATCGGATGCGGGTTGAAAGATGTCCCAGGAGTCTACACAGATGTCAAAAGAATTTCTGGGTGGATAGAAGACGAACTAGAGCGTAGAAGTTTGGTTATTTAACTTTGTTACCTGAAATTTTTTACATAAAATATTTTGTAAATATCAGAAACTTGATTAAACTTAATTAATAAATTTAAAAAGGATATTATATGGACATAATAATTAATTTATGTTTCTAGTAACTAATAAAAATATAGCAATAAAATATTAATGAGTCCAGTTAGTTTAAAAATTAGTTATACTGCAATAACCATTATAAACTATGCATTCAGTGAATAAAAATAAATTTAATACATCTGTTGAATCTATAACGCAATCGCACAAACAGTTCTTGGTTATTGCGAAGGTCATCTGCTGCCTGAAATATTCTTAAGCGTAGCTCTTCTAAGGAGACAACAGGAGTGGCATAAACAATACTTTTTATGTGTTCCCACAAAAAGAAATCCATGGGCGTTAGGTCAGATGAACGTGCAGGCCAACAAACAGGGGCATCACGACCACGACCAATCCAGCGATTCGGATAATTTAAATTTAACCATTCTCTAACGGCAAGTGTACTACATGCAGGCGCCCCATCGTGCATATACCATATTACGTGGCATATGCACGATGACGTGTAGCGAGGGGTACCTACATCCTCAAGTAATGTTGGAAGATTTTCGTTCAAAAATCTAAGATACTCGGCCGCTCCAAGCCTGGAAAAATAAAAGGACCTACTAGAGTATTTCCTACAATTCCTATTCAAACGTTAAAACTGAAATTAGGTTGACATCTTGAAACAAATATCCCATGAGTATTTTCTTCCGACCATGAATGAACATTATGAAGGTTTACTGCACCTACTCTAGGAAAATTAGCTTCATCGGTGAAAAGTATATTCATTAGGAAATTTAAGTCATGCCGGGAAATATTAATGTACCATCGACAAAAATCCACGCGGTTAGGTAAATCAGGGTCATTCAATTCTTGCACGGGTTGATGGTGAAAAGGGTATAAAAGATGTTCATGAGTTACATTCCATACAAGACTGTGAGAAACTTGCAGTTGCCTGGACACCTGTCTTGTACTTGTACCACAATCTTGTTCTAGATGTAGCTTTCTCAGTTTCAATAGTTCGGACATTACACCTTCTTCCGGCACCCTCACGACTGGACTGAATTTTACCAGTTTCGCGAAGCCTTCTTTCCACCGAGGCCAATGTTTGTCTATGAGGAATCGGTCGGTTTGAATATCTTTGGTGGTATAATTTTACTGCAGCGTTACTACTTTTTCTGGATTCGAAAGACAATTGGAGCATGTTGACATATCCGTCATTGGTATAAATATTATTTGCCATAATTATTCTGATAATAAATTAATCAATTGGTACTAATTATTGGTTGTCAGAAAGTGACATCCACCTACTTTATTTTTAGAAATTTTCGCAATAACCCCTTTTTTTACTAGAAAACTATCGGTTTTATCGAAAAATTACAAACGGTAAAAAAGATGCGCAATAAATCAGTCTTCCCAATAAATAATTTTAAATAAATAATTTGCTTCATATAAAAAATTTCTAATAAAATATTGCAATGGGGTTGCCTGTTTCACTCCTTTACAAAATACGCCAATGATCGAACAAATATTGAAAAGTTGTCTCTTTATTAGTGGGATACTCATACCAATTTTTGTGTCTCTAGCATTCCTTATGTTAAAGAAAAAAATTAAAATGTGAATTTCATTCCCCTCCTTTAAGAGGGTATATCGCCTCAGGGGTGCAACTTTCATATAAGGTATTTTTAGTTCAATCCTCTTATTTTTGGCTCTACATTCACTGATACCATTTTTACTACTTCATTTAAAAACACCCTGCAGATACCTACGCTCTATTTTATTTCGTTTCGAAGTTATAGCAATTTAAAAATTTTAAAAACTGGAATTGTAATCATAATTTATTAATAAACAACAAAACACAAATTGAAAAATTACAATAAATATTCAAAAGACAATGTTTAGGTCATAGTTCTACTACTATTCAAGATGTTCAGCAACCTGCAACACCTTGTCCAACTAACAACACGTTTGTTATAAATTATCAAATCATAGGTCATGTGTCTTATACGAGCATGGAAGTTCCAAAAGATTAGGAAAGTTTATTCTAGGAAAAATATTACATCTTATTTATTCTGATTATTTACATTAAAAATAAAACTGTGTTGGTTGATAATAATATTTATTTCAATTACTTAATCAATATGTGCACAAAAAATGAAAAAATATTAAATTTCTCGCTCTATCTGCTGGCATAAAAAATAGGGTGTTCTATTAATATTTTCAAGTTGACCTTGATTTGACTTTGAAATTTATGGTTAGTCAAACCACATATCTAACCCATATGCGACACTCCTTTGATAAGGCACAGATGCCGCCGTTGACCTTGTCCATTTAAACTGGATGCTAAACGTTGCCAGATTGGACAAAAAAAATTGATATCTGAAGAAAGTGTTGCCAATTCGAAATATTGATTGAACATGAACACAAAATGCTTTTATCACAATTTTTACTTAATTGATAAAGTGTCTGTCTAACCGGGATGATAAATTAGATAACTAATATATTAAAATAAAATTGCTAAGTGTTCATTAATTTTTTGTTGAAATAAAATACCTAATAACAAATTATACACATATTTAATTTAACATTTTTTATATTAGGAGTTTTACTAACATTTTTATTAATAGATTTTATGTGGTAGTAAATTCGCAGAGTTACAAGTTACTTTATTAAATAGTTCAAAGAAAATTTGGACAGGGATGTTGAACTGGAGGTACATCTTTACATAAATTATAAATGGTGTTTCCTGGGTAGTTACAAATACAATTAGCAATCAAATTTGTTATCTAACTGAATAATGAATATAGAAAATATGTCATTTTAACTTCCAAAAGGTATTACAGTAGTTATGTAAATTTGAAATCGTTTTATCCATGCATTATTAATTCTGGGTGTCCACATTTTTCTATCGACATCTAAAAGGACAATTTATATTATAAAAATTTAATATTTAAACAATTTTTATAAGCAATTTAATATTATCTATATAAAAAGTAATAATCATACAATTGTTCTCCTTTAGGAAACCGAAAAAATGTATATTTTTATTTTCTTTCTTGCATTTCCGATACTGATTTAGACATTCTTTGTAACTGCAAATAATTGTTAATAAAAACGCCAAAGTTTTAAAAATAGATAACTACAAATCCACTGTAAACCCCTTTTTAAAACACTTCAATACAGCTAACGGCAACAATGTTTACAAAATGCCCAAAATGGCTATTATATGATTTATACGTAACGTCAGTAACGTCACTAACATAAACCACACGGAGATAAAACATGTACGGAAGTATTCGGGCTTCATCGGTAATGTATTTAATTCGCAGATAAAAACCGTTCATACGTAGCATCATTTTATGGGCAAAATAATCAAACACTCTGGGTTAGATATGTAGTCAAACCGAGGTCATAAAAATAAGGTTTGTTGACATGCTACAACTTTTATCTGATAAAACTCGATCCTGCAAAGTTATCAGGGGGTTGGTCTCTTTATGGGATACCCTGTATACAGACTATTACAAATTAGCTTCTCACTACAGGAAACGGTAAAAGATAAGAAGTAGCTTAAATGGGGGCAAAGTTGCATAATCAGAGGACCAACATTATGCTCTAAAATATCAAGGCTAACATGATTAATTTTCGAAATATTTGAAAAAAAGCAAATTTTGGAAATCAGTTTTTGTTTCATTTCAGCCTTGTTTGAGGTGATATTGAAATAAGAAGAACACTTTCTCTTGACAACTTTTTGCCCTCTATCGAATGACATATTCAATTTTTCTATGTAACGTTTTGTCTCTCCAGGACCATCATCAACTTCATTTTTTTAAAATACGACTGGAAATTTTACTACATATTTTGCAAGCCCTCATGACTCGCAATACTGTACTGCCTCAGTTCGAACCAGATTCAGATGTTTTGTCTCGAAAAATTCATTTTCAATGTATTCATTTCAAATTTATCAAAATTTTTATTTAGATTATGAATGTGAACAACCAAAACTCCAAATTAATATTATACTTTAAAAAATTACAGTAAATGTTCAAAAACGTTTCCGTTTCCTGAAAAAAATAGATCGAAATTTGTTTGAATATTGAGTACTTGAGAAACCTAGAAATAACTGAGCACGGGATTCAAATTCTAACAATGTTTTATTGTAACGTGTGATGGTAATAGTTTAAATAACTAGGTGGATTTCACAGGGTCTAATGATACTTAAAATGTACGATAATCCAATAAAAATAGGAATCTAAATAAAAAATTTAGATTTTGGAACGAATACATTGAAGATGAATTTTTTAAGCAAAACGTCTGAATCTGGTTCGGGCTGAAGCAGTACAGTATTGGAGGTCATGAAGACTTGCAAAAAATGTAATAAAAGTTCCAGGGTCGTATTTAAAAAAATAAGTTGATGATGGCCCTCGGGAGACGAAACGTTACGTATAAAAATTGATTATGCCATTCGATAGAGGGCAAAAGTTGTCGTGAGAAAATGTTCTTCTTTTTTCAGTATGACCTCAAACAAGGCTGAAATGAAACAAAAACGGATTTCCAAATTTTCGTTTTTTTTTTTCAAATATTTTGAAAACTAATCATGCATTTTTTAAAAAGAAATATATTTTTTCAGTTGTTTCTACCAAATTCCCGGAAACGGGAGTAAAAGCAAACAAAGACGTTTTTACTTTTAAATATGAAACAAAAGCTTTCTTTCCGTTAAGGCAAAAATGGCCAGTTAAATAAAGTCAGTTTTCTTATCATTAAATTATCATTTAACCCAAGTATAACCTCAACGCTTATAAGATAACTGTTGGTATATAAATACATGTATGAATTTAATTCGTCTTATGTGTTTTGCAGTACTGTTTATTTGATATGATTGGGCTGGTGATATGGACCGTATTGCTGGCAGCCATGCCCATTGGAAGCACTTCGGTGGGGAGTTTAAAAAGAATCGACAAACGGTCTGTAAGCGATGACAATGCTTTAATCGAAATTTTACATAACTGTAAGTGCGTGAGACACTATCTGTGCGGAGGCGGTAAGATTATTACAGATGGGAGAAATGTCATTCAAGGAAGGTATAACTTCAACATCAATTTTCACTTAACTTTTACATGTATCAAAAGTACAATGCCTAAGTTCTTTTTTTTTAGATTTTTAAATTTTCCAATATTTTGCAAAAGTGATGATGGAATCAAAGGGCAATTCATCTGTTGCAAATTGGAAGCAATTAAAAATGAATCAGTTAGTAACAAGATAAATTTTGGAAACAATGACGAAAAGTTTCCGTGGATGGCTGCTATATTCAGTAAAACAGCTGACGGGAAGTTTGAATTTAAATGTGGAGGCTCTTTAATTAACAAGAAGGTGGTGCTGACTGCCAGTCACAGCGTAAATGAGTGAGTAATATATATACGTTTTTATAGTGAGCTAGGAACAGCTAATTTTTTAAAAACCACACAACGTAAATACTTTTTTATTAAAAAGCGTGCATTTATAAAAAAGTAACAGAATTATATGTAATTACTCAATTATTTGCTTGGCTCTAGAACCCTCGAAATACAGGGTGTTTCTGAAATAAGTTCGTCCTTTGAAAAGGGTGATAGAAGGCAACTTTTAATGGTCTAAATCTGAAACATTACGTTTTAAATTGAAAAACAAAATTCACATGCGGCAGCCAGCTGTTCCTTTGATATCGAAACTGCCGCTCGCCGTAGTGCGAAAGCGCTGATGGCGGTTTTGACGGTTTAAATTTTCTGTTCGAAAATGGTGAAATTTCTTTACAACAATATAAGGAGAATACCTAAAAAGAAAATAACATACAATTTTTACAAATTTTCAACATGCAAGTAATTGTGACGATACAGTTGAAAATATGCTTTAATTTACTATTTATAGCAAGGGGCCCGTCTAGCCGGGTATCTTGGCCGATGGATTTCGATCACGGACGCAGGCTGGAACTTGGATGGGTGACCTAAGGCAGGCTCGGGGACGTGGCTGTGGCAGCCTACCAGAGACCTGGGTCGCTCAACACCTTCCGCCTGCGTGTGGTCCCCGATAAAAATGGTAATGAGAATAAAGCAATAAATCTCTGTAACTCAAGACCATGCTAATAAATATAAACAAATCTCCCCTTGTTCCTGAGTAGAGCACTCGGTGGGTGAGGCAGAGCGGGGTGTCACAATATATGAAAGAAAAAAAACCTCGGAAATTACTCGAAATATCAAAAAATTTCCCATGGTTCTGATCGTTGATTGAGTAAAAAATGACCGAAATGTGCATGTCGAAAAAAAAATAGGGGCCATCATTGAATCGAAAAAATTAGCTTTATTTAAATAACAATTTTAAAGTAAATAAAATACGTTTAACAGAAATATCTAGTCACATCTTGTGTACCAATAATAAATGATGATATAATTTCTATTTATTCTCAACAAAATATGAACGACCGGATGCAACAAGAATTTATGCAGTAGCTTATCCCAGTAGGCACCGACAGGATAGATAGTTATTTCCAAGGTTTAAAGATTGAGGGAAATGGAAACCCCCATACTCGGAATGGTCAACCAGTAGTTCCCACAGTTAGCCAAGAAGAAGAAATTTTAGATATGGTTGAGGAAAACTCAAATAACAGTATCCAGCAAATAGCATGAAATGTTGGAGTTTCACTTTATTCCAGTTAAAAATGTATTAGAACGTAACTTTATCCAAGAATTTTAATCTTTACAAACACGATCTAGATTTTACTTTAAAAGTCTTGTTCGCGGATAAAACAGCGTTCATCGCAAGAGGTTAAAAATGTTAAAAATCCTCACAATTTTTCAGACGAGATTCCGATTGAAATTTAGAATAGTCAGTTTCAACATGAATTTAAAATAGTGGAATAGTTGACGGTTATTTAACTGAAATTCCTGGGAGGATTTAACCCAAATATTATTTGCACTTTCATAGTAACGTAAGTAAGTTCCGGTAATTCTATTAAATTTCCGTCATAATGTGTTACTTACAAGATGGAGTCCCGCCTCATTATCCGATAGAGAGATCGGATCACGTGAATACTGTTTTTCCCAATTGATGGCATGGACAAGACAACAACAATCCACACTTCGTAGTGTGAATTTACATCCAATGGAATGTTACTTTTGGGACTGCATCAAATACCTTGTCAACACAAGAGCCGTAATTAATACTAGACTAGGAATGAGTTAATAATGATAATGATTCCATTAATGATGATGATGATGATGATTATGATTCCGCTAATGATAATGATAAAGATTCCATTCCAATTTTTCTTCCGAACTTTTTGAACGTAGTAGAAAATGTATTATGTTATATAGCATTTAATTAAAATTTCTTTTATTTAATTGTTTTAATACAACTTCTTTAATTGTTTTAGTTACCAAAATCTTTTCTGCCCCTGGCGACGATAAACTTCTGCAGATCGAATTTGTTAGAAATTTCTACTGTTCAAAATATTGCGGAAAAACTATGCTTTTATCTTTGACGTTAGGGTTAGTTCTATCTATTTTGATTCCAGCAATCACCCATTGAATACCCTGAATCATCCTGTAGAATACTCGAGGAAACTTGTTTAAAATTATTATTCTCAATCTTCCTTATTTCAGTCTATCTTCTGAAGACCTAGTTGTGGTGGTAAGCGGAAAAGAAAAGCGTTCATTACAGGTCAGCACCGATAAAGAAAAAAGCTACGTTTCGAAAATCATTCGTCATCCCAGATATAACAAAGAAACTCTAATTAACGACGCTGCCTTATTAATTCTAAAAAAAGAATTCAAGGTTGGAGACGAGAGCACCATTAAAACACTGAATTTGCCATCGCCGGAACAAACCACAGACTTGGAGCCATATCATTGCGTTGTGGCTGGTTGGGGAGAGATTGCCAATAAAGCAAGTAAGAATACTTTGTAAAAATTTTCAAAATTGTGATGTTAGATATTTTTTGTGAGAGGTCAGATGGAGGATGAAATGGTTAGGAAAATATAACCTCCAAATAATATAATAGTAGCGTTCGGTATTAACCTAGATGTTCTAAATGTTTCTCTTTGTCTTTTCATCCGTTGCAATTACAAAAGGACAAACATATGTCCAGAACATCCAGATATCAACACCGAACGCTCAAAGTCATTTGCTGTTACTTCGAGCATATTTATGAATTAATTGTAACAACAAATAAATAGATTTACTGTACAATAATTCAAACTGACCGCCTGTATGACCCAAAATTTCGACAAAAATTCCTACAGTGTCTACTAAAAATAAGAAGTCAATTCCACCCTAAACGGACCACCCCCACGCCCCTATTCACCCCCACCACCCCTTCAAAAAATGAAAACTTCACCGCTTGTATACAGCGTTTTTGGAAAGATTCGACACTGTCAAAAATGTATTTACTTAATAAAGTACACTATGAACTCTCTATGAACTACCTTCACTCTTATTCACTATTTTTAGCCTTTTTACCCCCCCCCCCCCCTTTAAGGAGGGTGGATGGGGTGGTTTTGTTAAATTAATTTATGTGCAGGGTATGTAAGTAAATACAAAATAATATAAGCTTGATCACCAGACTTGACTAGGGTCTCCTGGGGTTTCTGGGATCGCCGATCCCGAATCCGAGGTCCATTGACTCTTATCACATCAGAGTCAAGGTCATTTTAAGGTCAATTCGGAAAAAAGCCTATAAAAAAATCTTGAAAATACATATAAAAGCGTTTTTGGGAAAGCTGAATCCGAATTGACTTCTTATTTTTACACTGTAGGAATTTTTTTCGAAATTTTTAGCCCAAAATCTAATTTGGGTCAAAAGCCGGCCTTAGAGACCCCCCATCTTTTTAACAGACGCCTTGGATCATGATTATTTTGCTGTAAATTTATTTTCGATACTTTTTAGTGGTTATACTTATGCAAGATTTTTTATAATAGTAATAATTGATGCTCTTGGGACGTAAATAACTATTTTTTTGAGTGTACCTAAAATTTGTTTGTTGCATCGAATGATTTACAGTAGCGTAGGTTAACTGTTTTTGCGTTGGGTTAGACGTTTTTTTGATGTCTTTGAACACTTTTTTGGGTTAGAAGATTTCCCGTTGGTTTTAGATAGAAACATTAAATATTATCTATTGCGCATCTTAAAATTTTCTCGATATTTCAGCTTCGGATACCTTGAAGAAACTGAAATTGCCATTTGTGAATCACGCCAGATGCCAGGACCTTCTCAGGAAAACCGCTCTGGGGCCGTACTTTATACTAAACGACTCATTTCTATGCGCTGGAGGAGAGAACGGCACAGACGCCTGTACAGGGGACGGGGGTGGACCGCTGATGTGTAAAGCTGTGGGTACTAAGGGTTACTTCCAAGCAGGAATCGTTTCTTGGGGTATGGGTTGTTTCAATGAGAATGTCCCAGGAGTTTACACTAACGTTCATAAAATCAGCGAATGGATAGAAAACGAAATAGATAATAACACATAATATATTTTTGTAACTGTGATATTGTACAGTTGTCTATTGTATTTTACGTGTGCAATTTTAGAACTATAAAAGTACATAGCCTTCATAAATGATTACAAGCCATGTGACCGCCGAGCTTAGGCGACCAATATTTCACGGTTGGTATTGTCAACTAAAAATCCCTAAATCTTAGAGTCACCAATAATAATGATTCGTTTACAATGAACAACGACAAACCGTTACGTTTACACTCGATATAATGCGATCTGTAACTGGTTGAATAAAAATCTCGTGAAAAATTACACTAACCACCAGAATGTTTTGATGTAATCTTGATCTTATAGTTTTAAATTTACCGAAATTTAATTGCCAACGTGAAATAAATAAAATTACTGTTCCAAACAAAATTACTGGTCACGTGGATTGTGATCATTTATGAAGGCTCTGTATATATTTATATGGTATAACGATTATTATTATTATTTTGAATTTTGGTTTTTTGTTTTTTGGCTGGCCTCACGTTATGCATAAAATTTATGTGTAAGAAGTTTTATAATGTAAATAAAACTTGTTGATAAAAATACAGGGTATCTCTGAAATAAGGGCCAAAGTTTTTACCACGTACTATCAAAAAGGCTTTTGTGTAACAAATTTTTCCTGTAATTTTTTAATAATTTAATTCGCACTGAAAACATTATAGATGGAACTAATGGAAAATGTTACAAATAATACTGGAAATAGCATTCGTAGCCTGACTACAAAATAATGTATCAAAAAGATCAGTTTGGAGGATTTTAAAATAATGGTAGGGATATCCGTACCATGCATATAAAGTTCAGTTTTTACAACTTCAGGATTGTCATCAGCGACAGCAGGTAGGTTAGATAGTCTAAAACAATAAGTAACATGGTAAAAGATTTACTAAACGATGTTCTTCTGGAAATTCGTCGGAACATGTCAGCACTTTCCTGGATGGTGGATTCGTCGAAATGGTCCAGTTACATGACCCACCTGATTGTCATATTTGAATCCGTGCGATTTTTATTTATAGAAAAGAACGAATAAAGAATACCGCCAGAATAATCGGCAATAAACCGGAAATTCTAGTAAGAATGAAAGAAAATTTGAAACGCTTGTACAACCTTGATATTATAGTATTATATTTAGTAAAATAAGTAAAAAGTTTATCATTTTTTTACTCCTGATCATATTTTACTTAACTAGTATATAACAAACTTTATTATTTGTCAATAGTAACCGACATGATTCCCCATAATTTTTTTTATTATTGAATCAATTAAGCCTTTCGATTTATACTTCTCTTAAATGTGTCAATTGTAAACTACTTTCTGTCATAAGTGCAGTGGAGGCTTGTGACATTGAGAATAGGTGAAAAATAATAATCATTGATTGACTAAATAGAAAGAAAAAGCGCTGCAGGCTAGAATTTTCAAGGTCAAACGGCTTTACTTTTAATATTACCGAAAAACTGACGTTCTTGAGAAGGATTTCATTTAGATTTTATAAAAAATAGAAGTATTAGTTCGGCTCATGGACTTCTGCGATTATTAACGCACACCGTACATGTATGGCTCATACATAGGAAACATTTCTACAATTATTATACAAAACAAATATTAACTAAGAACCATTATAATCGTGCACTGGGCGACGCGTATCGTATAAACTGTTTAAAGACGATGGGCGATGACAATGCTGCTTCAATTTCTGCGTCACTCGTTGTCCCACGCCGTAGTTTGCTCCCGTGTTGGCCGCCTCGCTGTCATGACAACCGCCGTAAACAACGCTACGAAGAGAAGCAAAATACAGACTGATTTCGATCTGCGTCACTTGCGTATATTATACGTTCATCATAGAACGAGGTTGATGTTCGCGCTCAACGAAGGCAATATTTTTTTAGAAGACGTTTACCGCGCAACTATTCTGTTTATTTCCGCGTATTAAGCAAACGAACACAATACATTTTCAATATAGAATTATACTTAAATTATAAAATTTATATAAAATCAAAAATAATTTTAAATTACACAACCAAACGGAAATTTTAGGTGAATAGGTGCATCACTTGCGTCACCTGACGAGCCGCCACTGCATAAGCGAGTTCTTTTCCCACAGACAAACTATTAATTTTGGTTCGGTTTTGTCATTAAAAAGAAAATAGAAACATAATCTAATAGACCTTCAATTTCGGTTCCATAGATTTAAATAAAAGTTAAATGAAGAATAAAAAATATATAATTACGTATGCAAGTTCTTTTGAGTTTATCTATTGAGTATTACAGAAAATAGGTTTGTGTTATTATTTGATTTACGATGATTTTGTTGGTGAACGTAGTTGTTTTGTCAATAGTAGTTATCTTGAAGAACTTCTTTTCTTCTATTGAGAGACTCAATTCTAATTGACAAATGAGAGTTATATTTACCAGTACGATGAAAATAACCGGGATATCATTGAAAAACGATATGTTCGGTATATAGATTAGAGTCATGAAAAGGAAAAAATTTGAAATAACACCGTAGTTGACAATTTTCACAAGATATATTTTATAGAGAAAGTTATTACAATGTACATACCTGCTCATTATTCGACAACGAATAACTGTCTGGAAATAATCAATTCTCTATTGTGAGGAAATATTTCCTTGCAATAAGTGACAAATAGAGGTATGTAGGTCTTTATTTTCGAACTATTTACAGTTATAGTTAAACTTATTAGATATAAATATTCATATTTCGAATTGCCGGAAAAGTTTTTTCCCAACGTATTCCGCTATTGCCAACGAACAAGTGGCCGCAGGGCTTGGCAAAAACTTGCAATTGATCACTCTGCTGCCTATACCTTTTCCCTCAAAGAATTCTATCCTAAAGTCGTCCACGAAACTGCCATCGTTGTTGACAAGTTGACCCAACACTGCCGCAGGCCCCTCTTGAATATCTTTTTCACTTATATCAGCCAGAGACAGCAATTCCTCAATCTGCAAAAACAAATATCTAGGTTTCGTTCTGTGAATGGCTGAAGGGTAACAAATAATAATTTTAAAGTTTTAAGAATAAAATAAGATAGTTTAAAGAGCAATTTTGATTGAAAAACGTATTAGTCACCAATTGCACGTTTTTGATGATGTGTGGTACTGACGTGAAAGCGGGGCCATAGTGCCTTCTTCACTTGACCGAAACATTGGGGAAAATACCTCCTGGTCATGTTTTGAAAGCTGGCAGAAGAAATAGTGTCCTTCAGGTAAATAAAGTTGATCTCATCGTTGCTAAAAATATAAATATAAAAAAAAATAGAGAAGACCACTTATGATAAAATATCAATCATGCAAATTCTACACCTACCTATAACCTTCTATTTTAAATGCAGGAACTGCGTTCGGACCTAGAAGTAATCCACCATCCATTCTAGGGGTAATATGAACACCCAAAAAAGGAATTGTCAGGTCAGGAACACCGTAAATGTTAGTTCCGATCGAACTTGTTTTCAGAAACAGATAATCCACTCTGAGAGAAATAAGTGAGCTTTTTCTTTTGGAATCTTCGTCGACGATGTTTGAAAGCACTTGCGATTGTAGACCCCCACAAATGACAAGATATTTAGATCTTAGAATACTGCCCTCCTTTGTTTTTATAAATATAGGATAATCTGGTGTGTCTGATTCTTTTATCACGTCTACCTGCAATAAAAAATATTTAGGTATTGTAAGATTTGTTACGGTAAAAAGTTACATCCCTAAAGAGCTTTTCGAAATGTTAATTGTATAATATATAATGCCACACACAAAATCAATATTTTTTTCCTATTTTTACTTTCATTACCTGGTTGTTAAGCAAAATAAAACCACCATTCTTTTGAAATTCCTTTCCCAAACTCTGAGTGACGGTACCCCAGTTAATATTCCCTACCTTAGGGCACCAAAGGGCTTGGATTCCATTGCATTTAGGTTCAATTTGCCTGATATTTTCCTTGGTCCACAGCATTTCTAAGCCTTCGACCTCATTTGCCACTCCTCTGTCATGTAATATCCTCAGATCGTTTAGTTTAGAGGAATTTGTAGCTACCACGAGTTTGCCAAAAATCTTGTACGGTATTTCATTATCATCGCAATATTTTAAGATTAGGTCTATGCCTTTCCTTGATAGCTTCCCTTTTAAGGAGTCTGGTCGATAGTATACACCTATGAATCGTACTGTTTATTACAACACACAATTGTCACAGTTTTATATGTGCATAAATATTTATATTTTATTGCTTTATTTCGACGTTTGTCCTTTGTTAATAACAGTACACCCACACACACACACACATAATATTAATAATAATCTCTGACAACCTAAGCCCCGACAGTCATAAAATAAAAGGTGTGTCCTGCAATTATTAATACAATGGAATTAGATTACAGTAATTTATAGCTAATAATTTCAAGATTAAAAAAGTTAATTCACTCTTTCAACTTTTCAATCAGAAAGTAAGTACAAATATTGTCAATACAAAAAATTCACTTTAAATTCTTATGAATAAACATTGATACGCAGTATACTGCGTTTTAACTTTTTTAATTTGTCCTATCTTGTTTTGTTGCTACTGCTTAAAGTAGGATATCGACATAACTGAAATTCATACATTTGCAGTTTGGATCTCAATGTTGTACCTGAGTGAATGACTCCACTGTTATGACTACTTTGATGTTTGCCCAAATCGCTTTCTTTTTCTATTAATATCGATTTTACGGTTTTGGATTTTTGTGAAATTTCTCTTGCTATAGCTGTACCGATGATTCCACCACCTATAATTGAGATATCGTAACAGATATTGTCTTCTTTTGGTCTATAGAAGTAAACGCATCACATCAGTTGAAAAATAAATGTTAATTTTGAGATTTTACCTTACAATAGTGTTGGTTCCCCAATAGTTTCTCAGAGACGATTTTTCTGCTACTATTATGTTTCTACAAAGTTTAAACATTATTAAAACGTTTTCTGCTTCTTTGTAACTTTTGTCATTTTGACAATTTTAAGATATACAGGGTAGCCAAATGAAAACGAAACGGCGCCATTTTCCGGAACTGCGTCACGATTGTAGAAAAACGCTCAGACCCGCCTATTTTAGATTAAACGGAGACATTCTTTGCTGCTATTTTTGACTCCCAAAATATTTAAATGGCATTGGGGGTTGAGTAATATTTCTTTTGAAAGCTTTACAATTCTCTTTACAACAGACTTTAAATTTTATAATATAAAATCGGACCAATAGCGGCAATTGTGACGATTTACCGCCCCGTTCAAGAAAAAACTGCATTCATCAGAAAAACAGATGTTAACAAGGAACCGAAGGATCGTTCCCTGCTCGCTCACTCATTATTTCGCAAAATTTCAAACGGCGGTCATAATAATCCTCATGAAGTTCCTGGACTAAATGTATTTTGTATGGATGGAATTTATTCTTCTTCAAAATGGTTTGTATGCTAGTTCGATTGATCCCAGACACAGATGCCAGCTGCCTCGTACTTAATATAGGATCAAGATGAACTTGTCCCAAAATTGCAACTTCACTAGCTTCATTAACTAAGGTTTTTCAATTTCCCGTTTTTTATTGGCTACGTTCCCCGTCTCTTGAAATTTTTTTACTAACTCTAGAACATACTTCCTTCTGACATGTCGATCTTGACGTTGTTCACTAATTAGCTGAGTTGTTCTGTTCGCACATTTATTGTTCATAATGTAAAGCAAAATGATATCTACCCTTTCCACAATGGAATAAACCAGTGTTTGATTTTCAAAAACGCAATTAAATAAACTACCAACCAACGCTTCCAAATAATACTAGAAAATAATTTGGAATCCATACTAATTTTACGTTCATTGTGTTCATTCATTTCTGTTTTTTACAATTGTGTTTATTTTTAAGAAAGTAATAATAACAAATCGCCAAAGACCAATGTAACGCAAGAAATACTAAATTTATACCATTGGCGTACTTAACTCGAATGAGTAACAGTTTTACCGCTACTAATTGTTTGTACATAAGTTTCAACTTTAAAATCAAAATTCTTAATAAGTATTGAGCGAAATTATAAAATTTAAAGTCTGTTGTAAAAAGAATTGTAAGAGTTTTCAAAAGAAATATTACTCAACCCCTAATACCATTTAAATATTTTGGGGTGATGCTTACCCTCGCTTGGGGGTGAAAGTGGCGGAATCAAAAATACCAGCAAAGAATGTCCCCGTTTAATCTAAAATCAACGAGGCTGAGCGTTTTTCTACAATCTTCACGCAGTTCCTGAAAATGGCTCTGTTTCGTTTTAATTTGGCCACCCTGTGTAGTTGATTTTGACCGAGTGTACTCATAGTGTACTTTATGTATTTATTTATGCATTTGAATACAGGAAAACACAGGTTACTAGATAATTTGAGCAAAGGAAATGGTAGACAAGTTAATATACCTTTGTCCAAAGTTGTTTCATTTGCAACTTAAAATAAATTTCACAGGAGGTGCAATAGTATGATTCATTTTTCAAAATGAAAAATGCTACGTCACTGACCAAAATTACATACAATAGTTTTGTTGAATCATACAATTAATTTATTTAAAAATATACTTACTCTTCCTCAAATAAATTGCTGTGGCTGTGAATTAATATTATCTGGAATCAGTTCCCATGAAATGAGTGTACGGCAGGGAATTAAAACGGTAAAACTGAATTTTATAATTATTAACAAAAGATGCAAAAATACACATTACAAATTATTTTCTTTCTTCCTTTTTAAGATTCTGCGGATTGTGTGAGTTATACAGAATTAACTGAATTATTAACAGTAAGCTTTAAAGTTTAAAACAATCTTCCTTAACCCTAACATATTCATATTTCGCGGTTAATCAATTGTGGCATTTCCATTTTTTTCAAAAATTAGTTCAGGTGGCGTGGAAAGACCCCTTAAAATTCACCAAAGAATACGAGGTTTCATTTTTGATCACCATTTGGGAGATTTATTTGAAATTGTGTGGGGTTGTATATGGATAAATATACAGGGTGCTACAATATTAGTAAATCAGTCAGTTAACCTCATATTCTTTGGACTGAAATAATAGGACTTTTTTCGTACCACTTTTCAATTCGGAGCCAAATTTTCAAAATACAGGGTGTCATAATAAAAATTAAAAAATGATTTTTATATTGATCTCCGGCGATTATAGATATTTATTTGAAATTTAGCACATACTTTGATCTTAACTCAGCACACTTTTTGTGTAATTTTGGTTTAAAATATCAAAGCGCGAACAGAGGAGAGAGGAGTTGCAGTACCCATGGACCCCCTATTTTTTTTTATGCTTTCCGAATATTTTTTTTAGATAAAGCGGCGTTTTATTCTATTTCTTTCACTCTTGTAAGATTTTTGTTTGGGGCCTTGTTTACGAGATATTGTAATTTTTTTGGATACACGACTTCAATTTAGTAGACATTAGACTTTAATTGTTACTAATTTATAACACCCTGTATAATGTTCTGTAGCTTACGAATGTATAATTTATAAATACCTGCATAAATAAATTGTATATCGTTAGGTACATGTGATGTGCAACACATTTTTACATGATAAATGAAGTGGCTTGAAAAATTCCAACAAAGTTATTTCTATAATTTTTTTATACATTTTTGCATACATTTTTTATGCAAAAATTAAAGTCCAGATTTAAAATAAAACACAAGAATAATGTAAATGATTTATTCAACATTTTCACTGGTACTGAGTACACTCGACTAGACTTAATTGCTGCTCTAAAAACAAGCATCAAGGAACAATTTTTTTTTTAAACAAATTTTGAATTTAATATTATACGTCCTCTGCTTTCAAGAGACCCTCGTGTTCAACGGTTCGAGTAACCTTAGAAGGATTCTGCACGGGGTTCTGTGAATACAAGTAAATTGCAAACATCACCGTAACAATGGCAAGCACCGTATTTAAATATATAGGAATACTGAAAAACAAGTAACTCAATATAGCGGTTAACACAAGTTCCAACGCACTAGCAAATGTTTTAAGTATGGAGTTGAGTGTCTTTAAGAAAAAACTGGTCACGATCCCAATCGCGGCGTTATTAATCATGACGAACAATACTTTGTAATGGAAAATCTTAACAATGTTCTCGTAGAGAAACGCACTGAGTATATTCCCGTTCAATGCTAATAAAAGAACATTGCAGATTATCGAATCCAAGTACATGAAAACATTTTGCACAAAGATGTTTATGTCGGCACCCTGCTTTTTAAGTAGATACTCGTTGTACACTCCCGCCAAACACGAACAAATGATCTGGACTAAGATAAACACACCGCTTAGTCCAAACTCAACGGACGTCGACTTGTTGCTTGAGATTGACTGTGTCTCGGACTGAGTAAAGTTCACTTGCTTCAACATGCACCCAGTTGTGAGTATCAACAGGGATATCCATTGCTTTTTGCTCAGGACCTTTTTAAATATCACCTAAAAGAGAAATAATGAGGTTTTAAATTCATTATTTATAACGTAATAAGTTGCTAAAATTATTTTATTGGTGCATTAATTTCTTGGCGCAGGGTAGTATTTAAATTTGTAAGTAAAATGGAAAATTTACAAGAAAAGCTTGTATTTATTAAATATTTATTAAAAATCCTGATGCAGCATCACCAAAGCAATCGCATGATTATCATAAAAAAAAAGAGATGAAAAAAGTGTTAAAGATAAAGAAAATAAAAGACAAAACAAATTGTAAAAATTGAAAAATAGAAAATAGATACATTAATAATCCTTGTTCAATTTCATATTGGTCTTTATATAAAGTGATCAGTCATATCTAGGAACAAGAACTTTTGTGAAAGTATAAATTATTTAATGATTTTAATATTTAACTATCATATAAAACAGGTTGACAATAAATATTGACAACAATTTAGTCAATTTTACGACGATAATATGGTTATCATATTCTTTAGGTAGTCAATAATGTGAATGAGTATAGTATAACTATAAACTTAACGTAACACAATAAACATTAAAGACGTTCCCTAAAAGTAAATAAAAATGTAATCTATTAATATTTTATTCATATAAATTATAGCAATATGTATATAATTTTAAGAGTTTGTCAAAATTATCCTACAAATTTGGTCAATATTTAGGAGAATTACTTTACAACGGTTTAAAAAATTATACCTAATGAAGTCACTTACTTGGAACAAAACTCCCGTTACGACAACTCTGAATTGTAGAAGTAAATAGTACGTCGTAGGGTCGAATGAGGATAAATTAATAAAAGCCAAGTTATTATATAAGCAGTACAAAAATGCAGGTACGAAATACAGCAACAATACTGTCTTATTTTTCACTATATCTACTACTAGTTCCTTCGGTTTGTTCCTAAAATAAAAATAATTATTTTCTCATAAAATTTAATACAATTTTTACTTACTCCCTGCAGTAGAGAAGGGATGAAATGACTAGTTTTAATATTTCTGTGAACAGCACCACCGTGACAATGTTATAGTCATAATCATTATTTGATTTTTGAGAAGCAGTCACCAATATACCTAAAATAAATATTGTGAGATTACAAGGCTATATTATTTCACGTCCATTACCTTGGCTAACGAAGAGTAGGATGTACAGGACAAATATAATCAAACTTAATTTTGAAGGGAACAACTCCCTCCATGTACTTCCAGTCATCTTTTACTGAACTATAGATGTGCGTGTTTTATCAATTGTGTGGGCACCCGCCAACAACATATTTACCGTATCGCTATTTCAAGGCGATAAAATTCAAATAACGCACATAAACTCGACCCAATCCGAGTAATTACTAACAAATACATTTTACACAATTATACCCGAGTTCCAAGTTCCAAAAGTAGTAAAACGAATCAATCAGCTGTTTGAGTGTTTGCCAGATCCAACCGATTTTTAAGCAGCTGATTGCGCTATTGAACAGTAGATAGCGGCACATGGGTAAGAAAATAATTTGTTAGTGCCTTTCCTTTTATCTGATATGGGAATTTTCGATGACTTTAGAGTTGGTCAATTATAAACCATGTTTTATTCACCTAGAATCTTAGTTAATCTTATCTATTGACCAATCAACTGTTCAGAATAACTGAGATTAGCTGAAATCTCAGATAAATAGAACACGGGTAATAATAACAAGATTTCAATAAATCGTGTTATATGATTGAACAATGCCTCTATCAAATAATTCGTTTATTTTAGCTTTATTAGTTCATTATCCTTTGATATTTGTGTTAAAGATAAGAAAATAGGAACGGAAATTCCATGGACCAAATTCAATGGAATTTGGGGGCGAGTTTTATCTAAAACATAAAAATTGATGATTTTTTTCAATGACTTAAAATACAAGGATAAGCAAAATTGCTATTTTCTGAGAAACAGTTTGTATAAGTATCTGAAATTCACAAAGATAACAGGCTGTGGCTGTGGTTTTAGTGGAATCAGTGCATATTTATGCATCGTTTAATCGTTCTTTTTAAATTTTTTTTTGAGATTACAAAAAATTTCTTGATCTGTATCATTTTCTTTTCTAGGTAAAAAAAGATATGGCCGAATGTTATGCGAATTATCTGTACACATTTAATACCAGTACCTATCTGTTTTTTTTTCGATTTTTTATTTATGAATGAAAATACGTAGATATAGGTATTACAAAATTAAAAATATACTTATACTTTAGGCAAGTTCGGTATTGACATCTAGAGGCTCTAGATGTAGCTCTTTGTCTTTTCATCTCCTACAATTAGAAAAGAACAAAACACATCTGGAGCGTCTAGTTGTTAATACCGAACTTATTGCCTTTTGTAGGCATTATAAAAACAAAGTAACTAATTTAAATGTTGTTATGTTAGAATTCTGCAATTTTGTGGCATTTATCTTTTTTTGAATCCAAACCAAAAGCTGCTGCTTGATGTTAGATGTGGATTTTTATTCGAAACACTTTTTTCAGTTGGTATAACTTCGAATTTTGAAATTATATAGAAAATTACAAGTTTCGCCTCCAATAATGCAAATCTTGAACCTTGAACAATCATAGAAATTAATAAATCCTTACTCATAATGATTAAGGATACAAAAATTATATAAATTATTGTCTTTACCTACGCAACTTCTAGGTCCAGCGCTAAAAGGTAAAAAAGATGAATTGCATATTTTCTCCAGATTATCCTCACTAAATCGTTCTGGTTCGAATTTTTTCGGATCAGGCCAGTATTTAGGGTCCCTCTGGATTGCAAAAACGGGAATCCAACATATAGTACCTACCTCTAAATAAAGAGGTCGCTCCATATTGAAATCTTCAGGTTCTATAACTATGGATTTATTAGACTTTCGATCTATCCACGTTGTAGTAGGCCATTTACGAAGAGTTTCTAAAAAATAAAAAAATCTTTTGTCAAAACTATCAATCTATGAAAACATTCTTCGTGCCTGAAATGGTCATATCCAAATATTTCATTCTAACTAAAGCATCAAAATTAATTTTTCCACAATCCTGTAAGGCTTCATCCACTTCTTTTCTTAATTTCTCCTGTATCTCCTGATTGATCGCTAGTTCATAAACGCAAAAATACATCAAAGAAGCAGTGGAATAGAATCCCCCATAGAAGAAATCTATAGCTTGTGCTGTTATGTCATCATCACTAAGCTTCGAAGCGAATTTCTTGTTTATTGGATCCCAATTTGTTTCTTTGGTTGCATCAAATTCTGCTTTAGTGACTTTTTGTGTATTCTCTCTTTCTTTGCATGCTCCTTTCCTGGATTCTATAAGGTATTGTATGTAGTCTGGTCTCACAGCTGTCTTATCCTCACGATTTCGTATCGAATTTTTCACCAAGTTCCGGAAAAAGTTCGATACGTTGTCGGGATGCATTTTTACATTCAGTAACTGAAAATAAAACTTCACTACTGTGATATTCTTAATTTGAAATTACCTTTGCAATTGTTGGGTTCACCGTATACAGCAACTGTTTCAGTTTCTGTAATCCACCGAAATTGGTCAACTCTGCTCCCATTCTTATAAAATCATTGTTTCTGTCTTTAAATGAGTTGCACTCAATTCCGAAGGAAACAGACGCTATGGTATCTGAGGAGTATCTTTTGAAAAGGTCCATGAGCTCTATTTCGATGACGTCTTCATTTTTCTCACTTAAATATTTCATTAGTTGCGTAGCGCATTTGTCTATAAGTTCAAACATTGATTTGATATTGCTTGTGGTGAACATAGGGCTTATGGTTTTTCTCAGTTGCCTCCATGTTTCTCCTAAAAGGGCAATAATATCAATATGTTACATTTATAAACATTATGATTGTTAAGTTTAGTTAAGTTTCTGTTCTAGTTGAGTCTAAAATAATTTTATCCGTAATCCATTTCTTTCATACCCTTTGCAGCGAAGAGATTCTTGCCCCAAAGAGTATCTTCATTTGGTTCAGAAGACTGTGGGTGTTCCGAGAACGTGTCGAATTCCTTAGTAAGTATTCTTTTGATTAAATTTAAATCTCGCAACAAAAGAATTGGTTGACCGTACTGATATGTTCCGCAATATCTGAAATAAAATCACAGCTAATGTAAACCAGGAAATGCAGATGAGCGGAAATCATAAGAGGCGCATAAGAGACAAAGTATCGTTTTCGGTATACAGAGACCCTCCTCAATTCGCCAACTGAGTATGATAAACAGGAACATATTTAAACATTTTATAATTTGAAAATCGTTTTTGTGAAATGAGAAGATATACCTACAGTTTTTACATGAACAACTATTTTTTACAGTAATAAATTAAAATTCTATAGATTCTCTAAAAACATAAATTAATATGTAATCAATATATTTGTACATAGTTAAATAAAGAGATATAAGTGGTAAAAAATATTTTATTGATATTTGCAATACACTTTAAAATAAAATGTTTTGTATCGATTCAAAGAATACATTGCATAATAGTTTTCACGAAGGAAGATTTTCCGGCTGTATTTTCTGCATAAGAGAGTTCATCTTGGAATTATATAGATTATTATATTGCCTTTAATCGTAAAAAAATATGTACCCACAAATCCCACAATTATACTTTTTTAAATAACAAATGGCGAATAAACTACCTGAGGTAATTAGAAAAGGATCGCGAAGTGGTAAAGCTATAATAAATTCTTCAATTTAATAGTTTTAGTAGTTTATATGTTTATCACGATTATTATCTATTTTAATACGCTTTCTTGGATCCATTCAAGGACACCGAAAATGGCTGATTGAGATCAAAGTGTCAACAACGAAGTGAAACTGGTGGTTTGCATGTCGTCACTCTTATCACGTAGGGGCGTATAATCCAAGAAATGGATATACACATACGTCTCTACGTGATAATAGAGACGATATACATAACTGTGATAACTCCAACGTAGGTAAGGAGCACTTCTCATCGAAATCTTGAATACCGTCCTGTCCGAATCAAATTCGACCTTTATAATATTCACATTGCTACTTAAGACTTACCTCTCATTTGGAAATTGTTTATATAAATCAATGATGTATTCTGGATAAGTCACAGATTGGAGAAGTGTGGGCAACGAGTTGCCAAAGATAGGCAACGGCGTCACATATCTGATTCCCTTGTCTTTCCAATAACACAGCTTATTATAATAATTTAGCAATACGTAAGCAACACAGAGAATAAAAAATGTCGCGAGCACTAACATCTTAACATTTATTAAATACAAGAACAAAATAAATAGCCTTGGCGACGGTTAAAGATAAGGTGATGTTTGTAAATCCCTTTTATAGTTAAACTAACACAGATAAATATACATTTATCCGTAAGAAAACGTACTCAAAAATGCATTTTATTTTTAAACTTTTGATGCATACTCATCTTCAACATGTAGAGTGTGCGACGGGTAAGCCGTGAGAGGAATGCAATTCCATGGGCGTATCAATTTAGAATTAGAAATTTAAAGAGAATACACACACTGTTACTTATTATTTATAAACAGTATGCAATGCAATGTATATTTAAATAAGTGGGAAAAAATCAAAATGTCATTTGTTACTATGCACTTATATGTACCTATAAAAATAAATAATTCGAATAATAAACTATGCTATTATACACATTTTTAATGAACATGTTACAGAACTATTATCTATTGAAACTTTCTTCAGTCGTTTTTTTCTATATTTTATCTCTTTTTTAGTCCAAAGGAATCCTAGATTTTTCTATGGGAACAATTTAAAAAATTCGCTAACAATTGGAAGATGAATAATTTTCCTACCATGATGGCATACGTATCTGCTTCCTAGAAATAGATTACCGTCAAATTTATATTTATATCTATCTGAATCGATACATGAAAATATCATCGTTTTAAAAAAGTAGTGATAAAATTCGGATATACAAACCAATGCAATTCCTAAGTCCTAGTCCAAAGGGCAGATACGTCCCTTGAACAATTTTCCCTCTATTCATTAAATCGTTCAGGGTCAAAGGCATCAAGACTGGACCAATAATTTGGATCTCTGCGTAAGGCAAACACTGGAATCCAAATTACGTCGTCTTTTTGAAGATGCACTGGTTTCTCGTCTTCTCTTTCTAGTTCTATGGATAAGGAAAAAACGGCCTTGCGGTTCACAAACATACCTGATGGCCATTTGTGCAGAGTTTCTAGAAAAAGAATATTAGACGGTGACTAAGAGAGTGCGTGATGGTTTACTGTCCTTTGAACAGCTTGCTATTATCTTACCTAACATTTCCATATCCAAGTATTTCATGGCGAATAAATCTTCCATTAAATTTTCGAACGTTAAGGTCTACTTCTTTCCTAAAACTTTCTTGTATATTGAAATTGCTCATATGCAAAACGTTAGCAATTTAGCAGTTGTGTCGTCCTCCGAAAATGAAGATTACAGCTTGGGCTGTGATATCTTCGACACAGCAAACTGCTTTTGAGTGCTGGTGGTACTGAAATTACCACTAATTTCGCCCACATGGAGACGTCCTTTTCTTGCTTCTATGAGGAGATGGATTAGGTCAGGTATGGAAATGTTTCTCTTGGTTCTGGTTTCCGTGGTATTTTTTATTACTGAGTGATAGTAACTGGAGACGTTGGAACTGACCGTTTTTATATTACATCCGAAAAGATGCGATTTTTTTTTTAAATTTAAACCTGTACAAATAATTTAGTTCCATTGCTAAGTATGAGTTCATGCTTTTGTAAAAAAGAAACTTAAATCTCTTCCAACCATAAAAGTCGATGAATTTGGTACACATTCTATAAAATTCGTTGTCTTTAGCTATTACCGAATTGATTTCTAAGCCAAACGCCGTAGTTGCTATCACGTCCATCAAGAATCTTTTCACCTCATCTACCCTTTCTAGTTCTAATATATGTATATATTTATAATAATTAGTACGTTTTGTGACGTTTTTGACTTATTTGCTTTTGCATTCAGTGCACAATTCGTTATTCAAAACTTGGAAGACAGAAAATGTAGTACAAACAAACTTAGAAGACGTTTTCCTTTTTTTTACAAAAGATTAGTTATTAAATTATTGTTAATACATTAATAAATTGCAATCTATGGCATGTAATTAACATGATTAACTAAATCACGAAAATATAAGTTTACGACTATGTGGACGCAATGATCAATGCCCAAATCTACGCTGGACGTTTACGGGATATTCAGCCAAAAATTATAGCCTTTTTTGATGGATATTTGTTTTTTACTTATTGTATGATTAGGTGGTAACTGTTTCTAATGGGTGCGGATGTGACGAACTAGTGAAGATGTGCATAAGAAAAAAATTATATCCTATTGATTCACTTCCCATTCACAAAAACTCATAAGGAGTGGTCTTTCATGATTTTCATAGACGATTTTGGCATTAGTCCACCTCTCTTGAAAATACCAAAGTAGCGCCCGTGGAAAACAACAACCAGCAGACTGTTTCTTCAACTGTCAACAAGGAAAATGTACCGGTCAAGAACAGGGTATTAATATTTTTGGAAAAATACCTACAAATGTTGCCGGATAAAAGCAGCAGCTACTTTCTTAGCAGATTATTGCGCAGACATCACATCGTTGAATCATTTTGGAGATTGGAATAGACATAGTAGCTGAAGGATATGTCAAAAATTCTCTTCAACAGAAAGTCAAGATTGGGGAGAAAATTTTGGATGGCCACAATGCTGACGCTGAATCTCTACATTAGTTACAATAGCAAATGTGAATAGAAACACAAGAAAATGAAAATCTTGTGTTAGTTTCGGTAGTGGAATCCAATTTCACATTGTAACTTTTCATTTCAATTTAAATACTAATAAATAGTTAATTGTTAAACGTTGTTCTCTCTATTTATATTAATTTTTGTTACTAGAAACCAACTCTGTAAGACTTCAGCCGTTGGACAAAAATTATTGATGATAAGAAATGATGATGATGATAAATAATTTATTTTAAAGTGATATTAAAACAACATACGACTTTGTAACACATACTTTAATTCATACAAAATATACAAATCGTTATAAACAATAGATTTTCAAATGCCCGTTTATAAAATTTACCAAAAGTAAATCATTTTTGTGTCTCCTATTATTTATAAATTCATAAAAAATATTCTTACATTTTCTTATAATTTTATAGTGTTCAATAAAATAAAAAAAATGACCTAGTGTTTTGTATTGCAAAATATACTTTGGTATAGACAACACATGTAATCATTTCCGCCTAATAGCTATCAACGGGCCAAATTATTTTGTACTGTTGTTCATAAAAACACACTTCCACGAACTTTCCTCCAGCCAAAGTTGTGCTGCAACAGCAATATCGCCGGCTACATCAAACACTTCTTCTAAAATTAGGCGTGGGAACAGTGACAGATCCCCAGAAAAGAATAGTCTTCGTCTCTTCATTCCTTATGAAGAAAAAGAAGGGCACGTCCACCCTGAACGTCACCCTACCGCCATCTCTCGACAAACTCACGGAGGTTGTGGCCGCAGCTTCGGTTCCTGTCTCCGTAATGTCCATGTAGACTTTGTGAATGACCTTATCGGCGTAAAGACCCGGATTCTGATAACTATTATTCGTGGATTGTTGGTTGATTATACGTCTGAGATTATCTATTGTCTCACTAGCCCTTGCCCTTCGTCCGTTTTGGTCACTGGTTCTGTTATTCGTGCAAGGAGAAGTAGCCGTATTTGCTGCTTTTGTACAGTCAATGGCATCATTGAAAATATCAGCCAATATAGATTCACTATTTCGGTTTATAGACAGAGGTACTCTAGCTGTTACTGCTAGGTCTGGAAGGGGATTCACAGGTTTTTCCCCTGGAGACAATAGTGCTAAGTTGGCCTGGGAAGGTATGAATAGACTTTTAACCCCAAGAAGCTCAAGGGAAGATTTGAGGTCGATGGTGCTTTCTATTCTCATCTTTGGGAACACGAGCACTGCTCTGGTGTAAATCGTGCTGTCTGCTAGGCGTTCCAGATCCGTGGGTGTTAGAGATTCCTCTAGTTCTCTCAGTTTCTTCGCATTGGAGTCCACTGGCATCACCACGTACATCCTGGATGCATTACCCTGGTAAGGGAAACCCATCACCTCGCAGTTGAGCCTTTGGTCTTTGAAATAAGGGAAGTCGCCTCCGTTGGCCATCATCTCCACTTCTGCAGACGGGGGGGATTTTCTTCCATTTGTATAGAATGGCCGTCTGAAAAACAATCAATCATAAACATTTTTTAATGAAAGAAATGTAATTCTTACCTGGTGGTGGCGCCTTCAAAGAAGGGTTTCTCCCAAAGCGCCTTGAAGTACATGGCACTGGCTATGATAACCCTTGTATGCGGCAACGGTTCTTCCTCAAGTATATTTCTGATCTTCCCGTTGGTTTTTTGCGACACCCAGGAGTTTATAGTCTCCTGCGCTTTACTAGGATCCCTTCGGAAGTCCACGCTGATCACTTCACTGTCGTAGAGGTCCTGCGCCGTCTTGACGTAGACGGTCCTCACAGGGTAGTCGGTCTGAACGAAGACGCCAGCTGCGAAATTCACCTGCTGGCCCATGGAGAAGCCGGAGGTGCGTTCTAGCTTATCAATCATGCGTCCGAACTGCTCGTGGACTTGTAGGGATCTGGACTCGATATCTATGCCAGTGGCTAGGCCTAAAACGGAGGTGATTTCCTGGAAAGTCTTGCCGTTGGAGCCCAGTAGAATCAACGCCAAGGCACCTTAAATAAAAGATTATGTTATTATTCACTATGGTTATTTTTCTTAACCTTATGCGGTCATATTTCTTTATAATTGCTAAAATCATGAACTCCTTTACATTATTGGAAAGCTGTAGTTATAGCAGAGAAAAATCGTATGGACTGTACTATCAACAAGATTAACATAGGACATCTAACAATAAGTAATTTAAACCCAAAATACTACATTTATTCTGAAAATCTGACCTGCTATGCTGACAGGGGCAAACACCACGTTATCCCTGTTGCTCCCAGTTTGTTGGTTGAGTGCCTTGTTGACCGCCAAAGTCAGCTTGGCTATTCCGCTGGCTATGATCTTGTCAACGAAGGTCTCGTACAGGGTGGTTCCCCGTATTTCAGTTAGATTCACGTTGGAGGGCAGCTTTACTGTATTGTCGCCATCCATCAACCCACCCTGTTCGTCTGGGAAATACACCATTTCCCTTTGTGCAATGGCGTAAGTGATGGTGACTAGTAAAGGGATTACGAATTTTGTAAACATCTGAAAATGGAAAACAAATGGTCGAATTGTCAAAAATGCTGTTTCAAAAACTGTTTACTCTGAAATTAGCAAACACTTATGAGATCACGTATTTAATTTATCAAAGTGGCTTATTGTACGTTAAAATTCTACAAAAAATGAAAAAATTCCTAATAACAGTCACACAAAATAAAAGAATGGTATGTTCTTTTGATTTCTCATTAAATATTCATGTAATTTGAACCCAATGTAATCTACTGTATTGGAAAACCACGAATACCTCAACTTTCAAGGTAGCATATTTACATTATTATAAATAAAACTAATGAATATTCCACAATAAAAGTAGTAGGTACCTATTGAATATAATCATGCTAATAAAGAAAATGTCTTTGAAGAAAATTGATTACGAATATTTTTATATTTCTATGGGTATGAATGTGTATCTCGGATCTTGTATTCCTATTATTTATTAAGAAAATTATAGATATTTAATCTACCATTTACCGAAATATGAAAAAAAATCATTTGCGCATATTTGCAAGTGGCAATTGCACTAATATTTAAAATGTATTAGCATAAAATACAGAAGCGATATTTTAATGTTGTAGACCTTGTAGACACAATCCCAATATCTAAAACCGCAAGATAGGTAATCATCTCGATCTTCTATCTATATACACAGTATGTAAATCACAGTATCAAACATTTTCCGCTACAAAAAGCTTTAGAAAAATCATAAAAAGTTCTGAAGGCGGAATTAGGTAAATTAACAATATCGATTTTATTTTCAAAATAATAAAATAACGCATGCCTCAAAAAATTGCTTTGGAATTTTTTTTTGGACCACACTTCCCAAGTTTGTGAAATCGCTCCGATTTTGAAACAGGATTTTTTATTTGGTTACGTATGACATAACTTACGGGATTCATAATAATTAAAATTATTATCTGATGCAACTAAATTACTGAAAAAATAACTACTAATTAAAATAATTTCTGATCAAACTAAAAGGTGAACAAATAAATAGCTATTACCGAGTTGTTTCTGATATTTTCTATATCACGAAAAAATACGGGATTTTTTTTGTTTAAACATCGATTCTTTGACTATATCTTTTTAAATTGATGTTCAAATTGTTTTTCTTTTCCATATTCCGATTCTGCATTACGTTTTACATTACATCATCACAACAATGTTAACGCAAAACTATCCAAAAGTCGTCTACTACTTTAGGACTTTTTGTTTAACGAAAATTCAAGACATATATTTAATAGAATGTTTTTTTTTGTTACCGAAATTATTAATCAAAGTTACGTCATAAACATTATTATTTGAACATTTATTAAAGAAAAAGTTATAAAAAATACTTGCTTTTAAAAATATTACTACTTTCTTGATTTTATTTTGCGAATTTTGTAAATGAAGTCAAACAACACTCTTCGATACCACAAATCTAGAAATGCGAAAGATATCTGATCTCACAAAATTCCTAACTGTTGATATTGCGGGAAATAGCTGTCTATTAATAATAATTATTAATTCCATTCGCAAGGAAGAAGAAGTATAATCCTAAGAAAAATGTGAATCTTTCTATAGTGGCTATTATTACGTGTAAGTTTTGAAAATATTTTCAGCAAATACTAATTTCAATATATTCTCTATTAGTATTTACCATTTATCATAAACTTTTTGTTCAAACAAACCAATAATCCATGTTTTCTTTAATTTACATAATTTATGTATATTCAACCTAGGAAACATTGACCTGAGGTTAAATGATAATTCTGGTAATTGGAGATTTTTTCAAAGACGGTAAAAATACACTTTTAATGTGGATGGACAAAACAAAATTTAGAAAGAAACTACCACTTTTGGATTCCTTTGTAAACATATAATTTTCCGTTATTTTTACGATAATGATTCAAAGAAAAGTACCATACCATTCTATCAAATATAATACACCTTGTATCTTATGTTAGTAGAATATCGAGTAGACCTTGAAATAGAAATTTACGATAATGTCACTTTTGACTTCCATTCGACTTGTTGATCAAATTGTGGTTTGTACACATAATAATATTCATACATTCACATAATCAACAGATAATAGATACCGCTGAATATGTTATAGATATGTCATTCATTTTTCCTTGGCAGAATAAATATAAAATTTTCATTTTCACCATGACACTAAAACTTTATCGTCATTGTTGACTGCAGCTGCATCTTTTGTATTTTTTTCACTTTAAATTAAAGCACGCTATGACTCAGAAAAGACTGGAATCAGATCGGGATGATTGCTATTGAGCATGAAATTACTGTTATTAAATATATATGATATAAACGTAAATTGCAGTTAAAAACAAATTGTTTTACTTGTACTTCACATTTCCTGATCACTTAATAATATATTAAATATTAAGGTCAGTAAGCAGTAAGTGTTCTTTACTGGTTAAGGATATGTTTCCAAAATGTCTAAAAACAGTCAGATACTTCACTGCAGTGTTTATGACGGTTTTTGCACGCTCAAATATTAAATAAATTTAATTAAACCTAAAAAATTTAAATGTTAAAGCTATTTATTGTTAAGTGACATCTGCTGTCATTAAAAATGTCTCCAAGATAATATTTTACCACAACTTGGTGATTCAGACTTGGAAAATCCTTGGCAGGTAACATGCTCAGCTATAATACCCGAGAAGCCCAAAGACAGATACGAGAAAATCTTCAAGCTATTTGCAGCGTGGTTTAACAAGAAAATTTTTGAAAATACCACAGAATGCAGCTGAATACTCCATGCTCAAAGCTACAATATTTTTGTATAAAGCTGTTGATATTCCAAAATATGCTACGAGGAAAAATATTGGACATACAGTGAAAAAATCAAGAATCTTAACAAGTTAACATGGAAAGTTCGAAAAATTTTACCATACTTTTTATTACAAACACGCATTCCAAAGGAGTTCTGCCACTATTCTAGCAAACCAAGGCCTTAAAAGGCACGGTGGGTGGCGTTCGTCCTCTATAGGTGAGGGATGTATCGAAGATTCTGTGCAAAATCAAAAACAATTTTCAAACAAGATTGTACATTAAAATTATTGAGGAAATTCTACGGTGGCAGAAAGTGATATCGCAGCCCAGAGTGTTATTACAAAATGTTTAGCAACTAAAGCATCATCAGAAGAGAACATTGTTTTAAATCCGAATTCTATTGCTCCAATAAATTTTAATAATTGTTCAAATTGTAATCTTAATTTTGTCTTTAACAAATATTGATTTCTAAAATCCCTCCTGATCGGTAAGCAATCACTTACCGATCGCTAATTTGTAGACGTCACTTACAAATGTCTCAACAAATTCAGTAAAAGTGTCAAATTACCTGAGCGCGCAAAAAAATTATTTAATCTCTTCTTATAGGTATTTTTTTAATCTGCACTATTAAAATTTATTTAATAACTAAATTATACTGATCTCNTAAAAGCCAAGTTCGAACGACGAAATATTTACTCGTCACAGATTACAGTTCTCAAACAGTATAACGTTCGCTTATCCGTAGTCAAAACTTAACTGCCCCGGTAGCCGGCGATGCGTCGTATTTATACGAGTTACCAAACATCGAGAACCATCCACTTTGTTCGGGGATCGACGTGTTTCGCGAATCTGTAATCTAGTTGATGCGACAGATTTCTAGTCTCGTAATAATATGCTTGGACCGGAGCGCGGCGAGTAGAATACTTTTAAAATTCGTTGGCGGGCCGCATAAACATCGACAGCGGGCCGCATGCGGCCCACAGGCCGCGGTATGTGCATCCCTGTATTAAAACAACATACGACTTTGTAACACATACTTTAATTAATACAAAATATACAAATCGTTATAAACAATAGATTTTCAAATGCCCGTTTATAAAATTTACCAATAGTAAACCATTTTTGTGTCTCCTATTATTTATAAATTCATAAAAAATATTCTTACATTTTCTTATAATTTTATAGTGTTCAATAAAATAAAAAAAATGACCTAGTGTTTTGTATTGCAAATATACTTTGGTATAGACAACACATGTAATCATTTCCGCCTAATAGCTGTCAACGGGCCAAATTACTTTGTACTGTTGTTCATAAAAAAACACTTCCACGAACATTCCTCCAGCCAAAATTGTGCCGCAACAGCAATATCGCCGGCTACATCAAACACTTCTTCTAAAATTAGGCGTGGGAACAGTGACAGATCCCCAGAAGAGAATAGTCTTCGTCTCTTCATTCCTTATGAAGAAAAAGAAGGGCACGTCCACCCTGAACGTCACCCTACCGCCATCTCTCGACAAACTCACAGAGGTTGTGGCTGCAGCTTCGGTTCCTGTCTCCGTAATGTCCATGTAGACTTTGTGAATGACCTTATCGGCGTAAAGACCCGGATTCTGATAACTATTATTCGTGGATTGTTGGTTGATTATACGTCTGAGATTATCTATTGTCTCACTAGCCCTTGCCCTTCGTCCGTTTTGGTCACTGGTTCTGTTATTCGTGCAAGGAGAAGTAGCCGTATTTGCTGCTTTTGTACAGTCAATGGCATCATTGAAAATATCAGCCAATATAGATTCACTATTTCGGTTTATAGACAGAGGTACTCTAGCTGTTACTGCTAGGTCTGGAAGGGGATTCACAGGTTTTTCCCCTGGAGACAATAGTGCTAAGTTGGCCTGGGAAGGTATGAATAGACTTTTAACCCCAAGAAGCTCAAGGGAAGATTTGAGGTCGATGGTGCTTTCTATTCTCATCTTTGGGAACACGAGCACTGCTCTGGTGTAAATCGTGCTGTCTGCTAGGCGTTCCAGATCCGTGGGTGTTAGAGATTCCTCCAGTTCTCTCAGTTTCTTCGCATTGGAGTCCACTGGCATCACCACGTACATCCTGGATGCATTACCCTGGTAAGGGAAACCCATCACCTCGCAGTTGAGCCTTTGGTCTTTGAAATAAGGGAAGTCGCCTCCGTTGGCCATCATCTCCACTTCTGC